CACATTTCTAGGTCCATAGTTCTGCCGTTAGCTCATACGACCTGGGGTGGTTTATTCGGTGGTAGGGAAATCAAACTCTTGAGATCTGTACACTTCCTCATTCTTTACACTTTTCAGATATTAATCCATATTGCTGGGCAGGGAGCACTCTGTCTGTTTTGAGATGTTTTGCCTTCTGGCCAGAGGTACCAAGGAGGCTATCTGGGCAGGGGTGAAATCCAGCAGGTTCTGACAGGTTCTGGAGAACCGGTAGCGGAAATTTTGAGCAGTTCAGACAACCGGCAAATACCACCTCTGCCTGGCCCCAGAGTGGGGAGGGAATGGGGATTTTGCAGTATCCTTCCCCTGCCACGCCTCCCAAGACACAGCACGCCCACCAAGCGATGCCCAGAGAACCGGTAGTAAAAAAAAAATTGAATTTCACCACTGGTATGTATGTAAATATCAGGGGTGCTATTCAGCAGGTTCTGACCGGTTCTGGAGAACTGGTAGCGGAAAATTTGAGTAGTTTGGAGAACCGGCAAATACCACCTCTGGCTGGCCCCAGAGTGGGATGGGAATGGAGATTTTGCAATATCTTCCCCCCAGGAGTGGGGAGTGAATGGAGATTTTGCAATATCCTTCCCCCAGGAGTGGGATGGGAATGTGGATTTTGCAGTATCCTTCCCCCAGGAGTGGGGAGGGAATGGGGATTTTGCAGTATCCTTCCCCTGGAGTGGGCTGGGAATGAAGATTTTGCAGTATCCTTTCCCCAGGAGTGGGGAGGGAATGGGGATTTTGCAGTATCCTTCCCCTGCCATGCCCACCAAGCCACACCACACCACGCCCACCAAGCCACGTCCACAGAACCGGTAGTAAAATAATTTGGATTTCATCACTGTATCTGGGTCCCTCATTTTCCTCCGACAGTTGCTTTGCCTTACCGGGCATGGAAGTAGATTGTGTTTTTTTTAAATTTTATTTTGTCAAGAATGTATTAGGTGATACATATAAGCATAAGCATGAATTGAATACATAAAATAGATACAAATAGAGGAAACATTAGGACAGGGATGGAAGGCACGCTGGTGCGCTTATGCACGTCCCTTACAGACCTCTTAGGAATGGGGTGAGGTCCACAGTAGACAGTCTAAGGTTAAAGTTATGGGGGTTTTGGGGATGAAACCACAGAGTTAGGTAGTGCATTCCAGGCATTGACCACTCTGTTGCTGAAGTCGTATTTTCTGCAATCGAGTTTGGAGCGGTTCACTTTAAGTTTGTATCTATTGTGTGCTCGTGTATTGTTGTGGTTGAAGCTGAAGTAGTCATTGACAGGTAGGATGTTGTAGCAGATGATTTTATGAGCTACGCTTAGGTCCTACCGAAGGCAGCGTAGTTCTAAATTTTCTAAGCCCAGAATTTCAAGTCTGGTGGTTGTGAGCAGAGGAGTGGAGGACTCTTCTTGTGAAATATTTCTGGACACGTTCAATTGTATTCATGTCCGATAGGCAGTGCGGGTTCCAGACAGATGAGCTGTATTCAAGAATCGGTCCAGCAAAGGTTTTGTATGCTCTGGTTAGTAGTGTGATATTACCGGAGAAGAAGCTACGCAAGATTAGGTTGGCAACTCTTAATGCCTTTTTGGCGATGTTGCGACATTTCTCGAAATCATTTATTTCTTTGATTTGGAGGCTCTGCTTGCTTTGCAGTTTTGAGTTAGAAATGCAGCCTTCGCTCTTTCTCGTGGAGGGGTGGGGCGGTTGGTGGCCACGGAAGGAGTGATTAAGCTGGAATTTCTGCAAGCAGAAGTGACCCCTGAGGAGTCACCATGACTTCATGTCTGTGTGTAGCCCAAGTATTGTTGTTTGCACTCAGAGTGTGTGACGTGTCTTCTCGAAATGTTCTGAACTATAGCTCCCAGCACCCAGTCACTGAGAGTCGATCCTTTGCAATAGCAATAGCACTTTCATACAGCTTCACAGTGCTTTTACAGCCCTCTCTAAGCGGTTTACAACTTCAGCCTCTTGCCCCCCAATAATCTGGGCCCTCATTTTACCCACCTTTGAAGGATGGAAGGCTGAGTCAACCTTGAGCCTGGTGAGATTTGAACTACCAAATTACAGGCAGCCGGCAGTCAGCAGAAGTAGTCTGCAGTACCGCATTCTAACCACTGCGCCACCGCGGCTCATTAGCAGGAAAGCGATGAGTTGCTTTCGGTTTGATGCGTGTGAACGGTGTATGTCTTAATGTGGATTGTTTCCAGTGTCCCTTTTACATCGGAGCCGGGGTCTGGGTTTAGGGATACTTCCACACTACACGTAGACCTCAACTTATGACCATTCGTTGAATGACGGTTCGGAGGTAAAACAGTGCTGAAAAAGTGACTTGCAACCAGTCCTCCCACTTACGACTATTGCAGTGTCCTGTGGTCATGCGATCAAAATTTGAAACGTGGGTTTTTTAAAAACTCTCTAACCCTCTTATCATTCTGCCTGTCAGCCTTGGAAGCCATATTAGGCCAGAAGCTTCCATGCTGCCTCCTTCTCATGCGTGGGAGAGGAGGAGAAGAGGAGCATTTTCTGGAATGCTGACACTGCCTACTTCCTGGCTACCCCTGCTTCTAACTGAGAAAGCAGATACTTGGAGAATGGCTTGGGTAAGAAGGAACAGGAGGAGGAGGTCCTTGTTGGTCTCTGAACTTGGTGGTTTCTATGCCAATGTTTCATTGCCAAACTAAGTAACATCATCAGTGCTGGAAAGGAATTAGTGGAGTGGAGGAGGAGGAGGAGGAGGACGACAACAATGACTGTGGGTAGTTGGTGCTCTCTGAACTTGGTGGTTTCCATGCAGATGTTTCATTACCAAACTAAGTAACATCATCAGTGTTGGAAGGGAATGTCTACAGTGGTGTGGAGAGAAGGAGGAGGAAGAGGAATGTGGGTAGTTGGTGCTCTCTGAACTTGGCGGTTTCCATGCAGACATTTCATTACCAAACGAGGTAACATCATCCATGCTAGAAGATAGAGCAAATCTAGTTCCCTTCTAGCATTGACAATGTCACCTACCATGTTTCCCCGAAAATAAGACCTTGTCTTATATTTTTTTGAACCCTGAAATAAGCGCTTGGCCTTATTGCCATGCGCTCAAAAGCCCTATTGGGGATGTCTTATTTTGGGGAAAACAGGGTAGTTGGGTAAATGAAACATCTGCAAGGAAACCACCAAGCTCAGAGAGCACCGAGGGCCCCAGAATCATTGTCCTCTTTCTCCTCCTCCCTCCCACCCATTTACCTTCTAGCACTGATGATGTAACCTAATCGGGTAATGAAACGTCTGCAGGAAAACCACCAAGCTCAGAGAGCACCGAGGACCCCACAGCTCAACCCTGAGCTACAAATCTTCTCGTCTATCAGTTTACTTGCCCCTATTTGATTTAAGTGCAAAAACGCTCCTAAATTCCACCTAGAATTTCTGCAACATTCCCTTCTCCTCAGGTAGGAAATTTCAAAAGCAATACTTCAATCATCTAATTAAGTAAGGAAAACACCAATGCCTGGCACTCCCCTTTAAACCAATAAAGAAGGGGGGGAATTCCCGTCGGGAATAGGGAAGTGAGGGGTAGGCCGCAGGGAGTTCCCTCCCTTTCACTTTAACATCCCACCGGGTTGTGCAATATCTCACAAGCTGAGCGAGCGACACAATGTCTGCCTTTTGCGTTCCGTTCACAAGCTGGTTGGGTCCCTGCAGTTTTCCCTGGGAAGTTTCTGCTGCAGCTGTTTCTGTGGCTGTTGATTTTATATTTATCCATAAGTCTAGACTGCCTTTCCAGATCTGTTGTCCTTTCCTGTTGTGTAGCCTGAGGCAGCTGGCATCTATGGTGTCCCAACGCACTTCAGAACCGCGTTTTTGTAAGAACAGGAATCTTAGCTTGGAACCGGAGGGACTCGGTTGAAATGTGTATTCTGGCGATTGGTAACCATGGTCAATTGACTTGCATTATTTTTTCTTAGGCAGGGCTGTTGTTAGAATCTATATGTATATATATATATATATATGTATGTATGTATGTAGGTCTTTGGTTGTTTGGGTTTTCTCCCGCGTAAAATTGGAAGTGTCTTGGCGACGTTTCGACAAAGTCTCATTCGTCATCTTCAGGCTGGTGCTTTCGGCTTCGTGCTTCTAGGAGCAATGTGAGATCCATACATAATTTCAAAATGACCATCAGAGCATTAGTATTTCCAAATTATTATTAACCCGCTCAGATACTAATTAGTTAGACTTTCTACTCCTAAGTTGTGATGTTTCATCACTGGAAGTTTTTAAGAAGAGACTGGACAGCCACTAGTCTGGAATGATATAGGGCCGTGATGGCAAACCTGTGGCATGCGTGCCACAGGTGGCACACGGAACCATATCTGTGGGCACGCGTGCATTGCCCTAGCTCAGCTCCAGCACGCATGCACGCACCGGACACCTGATTTTCGGCTGTTTCCAGCCTCCGGAGGGCCTCTGGGGAGGTGGGGAAGGCAGTTTTCACCCTCCCCAGGCTCCTGGGGAGCCTGGGGAGGGTGTAAAACAGGCCAACTGTGCCCACCGTGCCATCAAGTGCCAAAAGCAGGGGGAGCGCGAGGGTGGTGGGTAATGCACGCATGTGCCAGGCGCATTGAATTATGGGTGTGGACACGCACATGCGCAACCCCCCCCCCCCCGCTTTTGGCACATGACAGCAAAAAGGTTAGCCATCTCTGATATAGGGTCTCCAGCTTGAGCAAGGGGTTGGACTAGAAGGCCTCCAAGTTCCTTTCCAGCTCTATTCTGATTGATTGATTGATTGATTGATTGATTGATTGATTAAAGGTCTTTGTTCCAGTTACTATTTAAATCTGAGCTTGCTCGGCTTCCAAACTCCAGATAAGGGTGGGCCAGATTTGCTTAGACCGGTGTGTGTGTGGGTGTGGGACTTACACGTGGACCTCCAACTTCTGTCCCTTCTCATGTAAGACTTTCCTTCTCACTTTGCAGGGAAGACAGAGAAGATACTGACGGAGTTTAGCCAATTCTACCAGGAACAATTTGGCCTTGCCCTGTTTAACAGCGTCCGCTTTGAGATCGAAGGGGGAACGGCTCCACAAGCCCAACTATTGCATCGCAAGGTAAGTCAGACTTGACGCACCACCTCGGGGAAACCTGTTGAGAAATAGGTTCTAAAGCTGCCCTCTCCCCCCCAAAAAATCTAGTTCTTCTTCTTCTTCTTCATGAGGGTTCCTCAGGGAAGTCCTCGGGTGGAGGAAGGAAGGATTTGGAGGCGTCCCAAGTTTTATCGTACGAGAGGGAGGCGATCGTGTCTTTCCGATAACGATCAGAGACATTGTCCCGAGGGTCTTCTGAGAGACGGTACAGGCGTGTGAGGGTACAGATGAGGAGGAACGTGTGTCGCTAGGAGGCAAAACAGAAGAAAGGGTGGAAGAGATGTGCAAGGGGGCAAAGAATGGCTTAACCAGGGTTGTTGAAAACAGCGGTGTCTACACAACCGCCTTGTCGAGTTTGTGGGTAGAGTTAACCTGTGTTTTAGAACAGTTTAGTGCTTTGAGTAAACTTCACTTCTTTGGTTGGGAGAACCTAGCAAATGAGTGAAATAATTCTGTTTGAAGAGGTGAGATGGGATTTAAATGAGGTGGCACAAGTGGTGGGCTTCAAATAATTTAACAACCGGTTCTCTGCCCGGTTGCTGGGTGGGCGTGGCCATGGTGGGCATGGCCTAGTTAGCCTCCTGCACCATCCTGGGAGCAAAAACGGGTTGTGGAGGGCCCGTTTTTCACCTCCCCAGGCTCCAGAGGCTCTCTGGAGGCCGGGAATAGGCCCGTTTTCGCCCTCCTAAGCCTCTGGGAGGCCCATTTTCCACCTCCCCAGACTCCACACGCTCCCTGCACTTACCTGGGATCCAAAACGGGACGTGTGGGGACTCCTGGGAGGAGTGGGGAGGGGCCAGTCAATCATCGGAACTATCGGTTCGCTGAACCAGATGTAAAATTAACATCCGGTTCCCCTGAACTGGTACGAACCGGCTGAATCCCACCCCTGGGTGACACCTTCAGGTTTAGTTCAGCTTCTGCTGAGCATCTGGGAACAAATTTTTCAGCATCAAAACAGAAATGGTTTCTTGAGATTTGTTTCCCAACTTTTTTTTTTATTTGTATCCTGCCTTTATTATTTGTACAATTAATTCGAAGTGCTGGACATACCTAATACTCATTTCTCCTCCTCTTATTTTTCCCTGACAACAACCCTGTGAAGTGGACTAGCTGAGAGAGAGGGACTGGCCCACAGTCACTCAGCCGTCTTTTGTGCCTAAGGCAGGACTAGAACTCGCTGTCTCCTGGTGATTGACCCAAAGTCACCCAATCTACTTTCATGCCTGAGGTGGTATTAGAATTTACCATCACCTGAGGATTAGCCCAAAGTCACCTAACCTACTTTCATGCCTGAGGTGGTACTAGAACTCACTGTCTCCTGGTGATTGGCCCAAAGTCACCCAACCTACTTTCATGCCTGAGGTGGTACTAGAACTTACCGTCTCCTGGAGATTGTCCCAAAGTCAGCCAGATATATTTCATGCCTGAGGTGGTACTAGAACTCCCTGTCTCCTGGGGATTGGCCCAAAATCACCCGCTTAGCCATGAAAGGCGAGACTAGAACTCACCTTCCCCTGGTTTCCAGCTTGTGCCTTAATCACTAAACCAAGCTGGCTCTCAGATTGGTTTTTACCCTGAATTTAGACTTCAGCGTTTGTGGGTTTCCTAATCACCCCACATCTAGTTTTTCTCACGATCAAGGGAATGGGTGCAAGGCATTCTAGACTTAGATAAGGCTGGGTTCTCCAGCCAGGGCACAGAAAGATTGTCTTGTGTGCACCTGGGCCGGGTTGAAATTAGAGCCGGCCAAACAGACTTCGCTGTTCCGTTGTTTGTATTGTCGGCCGGTTCATTTCCCCCCACCATTTCCCTCCCAAAAAAAAAAAAAGGGGGAAAGAAAAAATAACAGAGGCGGTGATTATTCTTCCCAGCTGATCTTCTGCTCTTTCTTGCAAATGTAAACAGCCTAAGTGCTTAATTGCAAACTCGGCCTGTCTGCCAAGGACCAGGAGACGCCCAGATGCAGACTGCAGGCGTGCAGGATTCCGTCTGCCCCAGGTTTTTAATCAGGAGGGATGCTCCATTTTCTAACCCCATCGCATCCGGATGACCAGCCCTTGGGGGGCAGACAGGCCTCCAGCATATTACGCTAACAATGACAGAAATCAGGGGTCCCAAAGCCACGGGCACCAGCCCACTAGCAGGCCCTGGTCTATTTGGAACAGGGCCACCACTTGTGTGGCCTGGTTCCCTTCCTGCGAAGATTGGGTACCACTGATTTAGCCGTGGTGACACAGTGGTTAGAGTGTAGTACTGCAGGCTACTTCTGCTGACTGCCGGCTGACTGCAGTTTGGCAGATCAAATCTCATCAGGCTCAAGGTTGACTTGGCCTTCCATCCTTCCTAGGACCCAGATTGTTGGGGGGGCAAGAGACTGACTCTGTAAACCGCTTAAGAGAGGGCTATAAAAGCACTGTAAAGTGGTATATAAGTTTAAGTGCTATTGCTATTTAAGTGTCATACCTGTCCATCTTTCCCCCTTTCTGTGCAGTAACACTTGTCCCCCCAGTACAGGTAGTCCTCGATGTACGACCACAATTCAGACGAGAATTTCTGTCGCTAAGCAAAGGCGGTTTTGCAGGGAGCCGTGCCTGATTTTGCGAGCTTTTTTTGCCCGGGTTGTGAAGTGAATCGCCAAAGTTGTTAAGGGAATCCCACGCTCATTTATTTGGCATGTCCAAAGGCAGTTGGCAAGGTCGCAAATGGTGACCTCCAAGGCAGTGCGACCATCATAAGTGCAAGCCAATTGCCAAGTGTCCAAATTTTTAATCCCATGACTGCTGGGAGGCTGTGCCAGTTGTAAAAGGGGATCCCATGACCCCGGGGCATTGCAACCATCATAAATATGAATCCAGGCAGAGTGGTGCAGTCAGTGGCCTAGAGGTGGAGCTCTCGCCTCACAATCAGGAGGCTGTGAGTTCGATCCTAGGTAGAGGCAGATATTTCTCTCTCCGGGCATGATGAGAACGTATCTGCTGAACAAAACTCCACTTTGGCAACAGGAAGGGCATCCGACCATTCAAACACTCCGCTAGCTCCATTCAGTTACCCAGACTCCACCCCGCAAGGGATTATGGGGTCGTTAAAAGAAGATAATGTTAAATAAGAGCCTTGGTAGTACAGTGGTCTAAGGCACCCTGTTATTAAGCTGGTTATTAACACAGCTGCCTGCAATTTACTGCTGGTTCGAATCTCTCCAAGGCTCAAGGTTGACTCAGCCTTCCATCCTTTCTAAGGTAGGTGAAATGAGGACCCAGTTTGTGGGGGCAATAAGCTGACTTTGTATAAATATACAAAAGAATGAAGGCTATTGCTTAACGCATTGTAAGCCGCCCTGAGTCTCCAGAGAAGGGCGGCATATAAATCAAATTAAAAAAAAAAGAGTCCAAATTTTGATCACTTGACCACAGGGATGCTGTAACGGTTGTAAGTGCGAAAAACGGTCACAAGTCACGTTTTTCTGGGCTGTTGTAACGTCGAACAGTCACTATAAACGAACTGTTTCAGTTGGACACTGCCTGTACAACTTTTTTTTTTTTAAAATCTATGCAAGCTAAAATAGACAGTTGGATATTTTGAGGACTCAGATTTATTTATTTATTTATTGTCATTTGTTTCTAACCTGTTTATTAAGCTGTCCCAGGACGGATGAAACTCTGCAAATATTTGGGATTCCCCCTATCTCTCCCCCCCCCAAACTGGGCAATGCTATTTTTGAGCGTGCTTGTGATCTTTGAGCTGTCCCAATATTTGCAGATAATTCGGATTTTGACTCCGTTCCCCTCCCCCCCTTTCTCAACACAACTTCCTTTCTTTTGGCTTTTGATTGTTTTATTCTTCTTCCCCCGTTGGTGGCTTTAATGTTTAGATTGCCTTTTTAAGTAGTGGAAGTTAGAGTCTGGATTTCTTTGGTGGTATCAATAGGAAGGCGTTTAAAACAACATGTATGCCCCTTGGCAAGGGTTGATACCTCAAAATAGATTCACTGAAAATAAACCAAACCCAAAATAAATGTGGAACATTACAAAAGGCATCAAAAAAGACAACTCTTTTTTTGGGGGGGAATGGAATGGAATGGAATGGAATGGAATGGAATGGAATGGAATGGAATAGAATAGAATAGAATAGAATAGAATAGAATAGAATAGAATAGAATAGAATAGAATAGAATAGAATAGAATAGAATAGAATAGTGGATAGGATAGGATAGGATAGGATAGGATAGGATAGGATAGGATAGGATAGGATAGGATAGGATAGGATGGAAAGGAAAGGAAAGGAAAGGAAAGGAAAGGGAAGGGAAGGGAAGGGAAGGGAATGGAATGGAATAGAATAGAATAGAATAGAATAGAATAGAATAGAATAGAATAGAATAGAATAGAATAGAATAGCGAATAGGCTAGGATAGGCTAGGATAGGTTAGGATAGAAAAGAAAAGGGGATGGGATGGAATAGAATAGAATAGAATAGAATAGAATAGAATAGAATAGAATAGAATAATAGAATAGAATAGTGGATAGGATAGGATAGGATAGGATAGGATAGGACAGGACAGGACAGGACAGGACAGGACAGGACAGGACAGAATAGAATAGAATTCTTTATTGGCCAAGTGTGATTGGACACACAAGGAATTTGTCTTTGGTGCATATGCTCTCGGTGTACATAAAAAGAAAAGATACATTCGTCAAGAATCATAAGGTACAACACTTAATGATAGTCATAGGGAACAAATAAGCAATTGAATCATACTAGGAAACAATCAGTATAAATTGTAAGGATACCAGCAACAAATTACAATCATACAGTCATAAGTGGGAGGAGATGGGTGATAGGAACGATGAGAAGATTAATAGTAATAGTAGTGCAGACTTAGTGAATAGTTTGACAGTTTTGAGGGAATTATTTGTTTAGCAGAGTGATGGCATTCGGGGAAAACACTGTCCTTGTGTCTAGTTGTTCTGGTGTGTAGTGCTCTATAGCATTGTTTTGAGGGTAGGAGCTGAAACAATTTACGTGCAGGATGCAAGGGGTCTGTAGATATTTTCACAGTCCTCTTTTTGACTCGTGCAGTATACAGGTCCTCCATGGGCTGCTTGTAGCGTGCCAAGGTCCCCCAAAGTCATTCAAAAGTGTCCAAGAGAATGTCTTCTCCAGCTCACGGTGTTTCTCCTTCTCTATGTATCTCAAGGTACCTCTGGAAGACCGGATCATCTTCTCAGGCAACCTCTTCCAATACATAGAAGAAAACAAGAAATGGAGGAACCGTTTCAGCGTCGTACCCCTCAATTACGGGCTGGTGCTCTACGAGAACAAACTGGTGAGGTTCTGGATTGTTTCATCAAAGCTAGCTTGGGTTGTTTGGCGGATGGAGAAGGAGAAAAACCAAGTCTACGGAGACTCTCCATCATTCAGGTCATGGTTGTCCCAAAGGTGCTTTTCCAGAAGACAACTGGACTTTCTTGGGTCTTTTTTCCCCTTAAAAACATTTCACTTCTCATCCGAGAAGCTTCTTCGCTTCTGAAGTTCTCAAGGATCAGAACCGAAAGAAGCTTCCAGGAACGTAAAAACGAAGAAAGTCCAGTTGCCTTTTGGAAAAGCATCTTTGAGATGAGAAAAACCAAGCCATTTTTCTTTTCTTGATTGGTACCCAGCATTGTGAGAGATTGTTTTCCCAAGCAACTCGAGGGATGGCCACACCAAAGGACCCTTCTGCCCAAAAGGAGATCCTCTAAAAAGAGGCTCAACTCCTCCTTGCTTGGCCAGCTAATAGATCATCGGAAGGAACGGATTCCCTGGATTGTTTTTGATTCATCGATGTTAGTTCAGTCCTTCTCCCCCTCTTTTTCTTAATCACGGAGGAGATTCTTTTTTAAACAAAAAGAGGAAAAAAGCAGGGGTGAAGTTCTCAAGTGAGGTGGAGCTTCTTTCTTACCAATGGACCAAGAGGGTCTTTAAGGATCCTTTCTGGGTACAATCTTTTCCCCAGATATCAGTAGCTTCTTAACAGATCAACAGAGTTGGAAGGGACCTTGTAGGTCATCTAGTCCAACCCCCCATCCAAGCAGGAGACCCTACACCATTTCTGACAGATGGCAGTCCAGTCTCCCCTTGAAAGCCTCCAGTGATGAAGCTCCTACAACTTCCAAAGGCAGCTTCTGTTCCATGGGTTGATTGCTCTCAGTGTCAGAAAAAGTCTTTATTTCTAGGTTGGATTATTTTCTTATTAGTTTCCATTCATTCTTCTTTGTCTGGCCTTCAGGTGCTTTGGAAAATATCTTGACCCTCTCCTCGCCCCTCAAATATTGGAAGACTGCTATCCTGTCTCCCCTGGTCCTTCTCTTCACTAGACTAGCCATGCCCAGTTCCTGCAACCGTTCTTCGTTTGTTTTAGCCTCCAGACCTTTGTTCATTGTAGATAAATTCAGATTAACAGAGTTGGAAGGGACCTTGTAGATCATCTAGTCCAACCCCCTGCCCAAGCAGGAGACCCTACATCATTTCTGATAGATGGCAGTCCAGTCTCTTCTTGAAAGCTTCCAGTGATGAAGCTCCCACAAGAGCCTTGGTACTACAGTGGTTTAAAGCACCCTGTTATTAACACAGCTGCCTGCAATTTACTGCTGGTTCGAATCTCTCCAAGGCTCAAGGTTGACTCAGCCTTCCATCCTTTCTAAGGTAGGTGAAATGAGGACCCAGTTTGTGGGGGCAATAAGCTGACTTTGTATAAATATACAAAAGTATGAAGGCTATTGCTTAACGCACTGTAAGCCGCCCTGAGTCTCCGGAGAAGGGCGGCATATAAATCAAATTAAAAAAAAAAAAAAAAAAAAAAACTTCCGAAGGCAACTTTCTGTTCCATTGGTTGATTGTTCTCACTGTCAGGAAATTTCTCCTTATTTCCAGGTTGATCAGTTTCCATCTATTATTCCTTGTCCGGCCTTCGGGTGCTTTGGAAAATAGCTTGACCCCCTCCTCTCTGTGGCAGCCCCTCAAATACTGGAAGACTGCTATCCTGTCTCCCCTGGTCCTCCCTGGTCCTTCTCTTCACTAGCCTAGCCATGCCCAGTTCCTGCAACCGTTCATCGTATGTTTTAGCTTCCAGTCTCCTAATCATCCTGGTTGCTCTTCTCTGCATTCTTTCTAGAGTCTCAGCATCTTTTTTATAGTGTGGTGACCAAAACTGGATGTACTTCTTGGGTTTGCACACTGTCATTCAGTTCCAAGAGAAGACCTCAGGAGAAATACTCATTTTTTATTATTATATTATTATTATGCCACTGGAAAAGTACGGGCTGCTAGGGTAGCTATGATAGACCGAAGAGATCCATAGTACCAGTAGGGAATGTTGTAAATTTGCCAAGGGCACTGAAAACGAAGGCTTGAAAAGGAATTTTCCAACAGCCTGGAAATTAGTAGGCGGTTTCGGACATAATTGCGTTGAACATCTAGACGATGTAAAGTATGAAAGCTCAAGGGGAGGTCATTAGCATGAAAGCTTTAGGGGAGGCCATTAGTGGCAGGAATGTTGACCGCATGAAAATTATATGTTTATATGTTCCCATCTCTAGGCCTATGAAAGAAGTCTTCAGCCCCGAATTCTCATCAACAGCGCTGGCTATAAAATCCTCACCTCCCTGGACCAATATTTGGAACTGATCGGCAATAACTTCACAGGTGAGTTCTACTTGGTGTATCCCAGCTGCCTGGGATGCGGGATACTGACATTTAACAGATAAGGCTGATTTTTAGTTTAGGACTGGGATGTCAAACTCAAGGCTCGTGGGGACCTGTTTTCACTGGCAGAGGGCTGCAGGAGGCCGTCGTGGCTAAAAACGGGCCCCAGGGGGCTGCGTGTGGCCGTTTTCACCGGCAAAGGCACTGCCACTCAAAACAAACTAAAAAGAAAACAAAAGGAGAAAAGTGTTCCCCCTTTTGCATTTGAGCATGCAAGAAGGGGCAGGAAAGGAGAAAGGGAAAGAGGAAAGACAAAGAAAAAGGAGGGAAGATGGGAAGAGAGCAAGGAAGGAAAAATAAGGAGAGAGGGAAAGGAAGGAGAAAGAATGAAGAGGGAAGGAAAAAGGAAGGAAGGAAAGAAAGAGAAAGAAAGAAGAAAGAAAGAAAGAAAGAAAGAAAGAAGGAAGGAAGTCTAACACATTCTATAATTTTGAGGTGCTGTTGAACAAGGAAGGAATGAACGAACAAATGAATGAACAAATGAATGAGGAAGGGAAGGAAAGAAGGAGAGTAGGAAGGAAGGAAGGAAAGTAGGAAGGAAGGAAGGATAAAGCCCAACAAATTCTATAATTTTGAGATGCTGCTGAGGAAAGGGAAGGAAGGAAGGAAGGAAGGAAGGAAGGAAGGAAGGAAGGACGGAAGTCTAACACATTCTATAATTTTGAGGTGCTTTTGAACAAGGAAGGAATGAACAAACGAATGAATGAACGAGGGAGGGAGGGAGGGAAGGAAGGAAGGAAGGAAGGAAGGAAGGAAGGAAGGATAAAACCCAACAAATTCTATAATTTTGAGATGCTGCTGAGGAAAGGGAAAGAAGGAAGGACGGAAGGAAGGAAGGAAGGAAGGAAGGAAGGACAAAGTCTAACACATTCTATAATTTTGAGGTGCTTTTGCACAAGGAATGAATGAGGGAAGAGGGACAAAGGACGAAGTGGCTGTGAGTGAGTGAGTGAGGAGGGAGGAAAGAAGGTTATAATGAGAATGAGGGAGATCTGACGGAAGTCCTGCCTTAGCACTTGGCCACCACAGGTGCCCCCGACACAAGTGACATCTAGCCCACCCTGGCCATGCCCACCCCCAGCACCCCCGAGGTCAAACACAACCCTGATGTGGCCTTCAATGAAATCGAGTTTGACACCTCTGGTTTAGCAGGTCCAGCCAAGAATTTTGTTGAAGCTCCTCTTGCAAAGGTTGGCACTTTTCCCGCCTCTTCGGCTGCCCACTTGAAAAGGAAATTGTTTGAACTTGGGTTATCTGAAGGCCACTTTAGAACCTGCAAGGAAGGATCTGTCAAGGATGGTCAGTAAATAAAACGCACTTCTCGAGTGGCCCTCCAGGCAGCTGAAGATGTGAGCTTCAAAAATTCTCAGGGCTGCATGCCAAGAAAGAAATAGAATATAAGGTAGATATTTCTTTCTGAGCTGCTTCTGGGAGATTTGGCGTAGAAAGCTGGAAGAGAGAATCATTGGCAGTTAGAAAAGATCTAACTAGGGACACGGTGGCTCAGTGGCTAAGACACTGAGCTCGTCAATTGAAAGGTCGGCAGTTCAGCGGTTCGAATCCCTAGTGCCGCGTAACGGAGTGAGCTCCCGTGACTTGTCCCAGCTTCTGCCAACCTAGCAGTTCAAAAGCAGGTAAAAAATGCAAGTAGAAAAATAGGGACCACCTTTGGTGGGAAGGTAACAGCGTTCCATGCGCCTTTGGCATTGAGTCATGCCAGCCACATGACCACGGAGACGTCTTCGGACAGCGCTGGCTCTTCGGCTTTGAAATGGAGATGAGCACCGCCCCCTAGAGTCAGGAACGACTAGCACAGATGTGCGAGGGGAACCTTTACCTTTACCTAGAAAAGATCTAAGAATAAAATAAAATAAAATAAATCTTTGAAGTCATCTCCTCCTCTTAGCAATGCATCACAATTTCAGTTTTCCTGATACAGGTACTCCTTGGCCTACAACCATTCATTTAGCGACCGTTCGAAGTTACAATGGCACTTCGCTCGCTCGCTCGCACGCACCATCCATACATGCGTGCAACATCAAACAACATGGCAATTCACTTGTGTGTGCCGTCCACACATGTGTGCAGCATCCAAAACCCAGCGATATAGGACGGGACTGCGCCCGGGCGGGTGGAAGGGGGTGGGTCCACCTGCAGGTCGCCACTACCGGTTCGCCTGAACTGGTCCGAACTGGCTGAATACCACCTCTGGTTACATCCTTATGTATGGCTTCTGTGGCTAGTCCTCTATTGCAGGGGTCCCCGATCTCCGGCTTGAGGACGAGCGACGGGCCATAAACCGGGCCACGCAACCAAGCGAAACCCCATCTGTAGGATGGACCTTGCACCCTCCAATCCACGGAAAAAATCTCTCTCCGTGGAACTGGAGAACAGTTGTGGGCCACGGCTCTATTAAAATACAGAGGGGCTTGGCCTCCCCGTGACCTACACATGACAAACATCTGGTGGAAAGAGAGATTCCTGTCTTGTTAGAGTCCCAGATCCTGCCAGATGTGTTTGCTTCTTTGCTCTTCGCTCCCGAATCTCTGGGGAAATTATCATTCAGTCTGGAATCTCCATCTGGCTCACACGTGTCCTTCGACCACACTGAAACAGGAATATCCGGATCTCCTGTTGCAAGCATCACGCTCGGACTTTGCTGTGCTCAAGTGGTGGCCGGGTTGCTCATCGCGTGTCCGTGTCTTTGTTGTTGTTGTTTCCCCTCCAGGTTCTCCATCCAAATCGAGTCATGGTTCCATCATCAAGTGTCCCACCCAGTTCCCCATCATCCTTTGGCATCCTTACGCTCGCCATTACTACTTTTGTGTGATGACCGGCAAGGAGCAGGAGAAGTGGAAGGCTATTTTTCAAGATTGCGTGCGCCACTGCAACAATGGTACGTACGACGGGACACACTTGTCGGGTGGGTGTCCTTCTCCTCCCTTTGAAGGACGTGTCTCCTTGTAGACCACCTTTGCTTCGCAAATCTGACAGGGTTGGCCATAAAGAAAGACCCCTTCCTCTTGGTTCGACATGTAAGGAGAACATTTTGAGTAGTCTACATTCTGATAGTTTCTTAGATTGGATGGCTTTTTTTCCAGGGACAGGAGGAAACTTCTGCTTCTGTTGGTATTTTGAACAAGAGAAGCTCAACGTAGGGTCTATATGTGGCTCATAGATCAGTTCCTATCACACAGATAAAAGCTACAAGAGCCGTGGTGGCACAGTGGTTAGAATGTAGCATTGCAGGCTAATTCTGCTGACTGCCAGGGGTTCGATCCTCACTGGCTCAAGGTTGACTCAGCCTCCCATCCTTCCAAGATCGGTTAAATGAGGAGACCCAGATGGTTGGGGGCAATAGGCTGATTCTGTAATCTTCTTATAGAGGGCTGTAAAGCACTGTGAAGCGGTATATAAGTATGCTATTGCTATTGCTTCCTTCCTTTCTTCTTTCTCTCCCTCCCTTTTCTCCTTTCTCTCCCTCCCTTTTCTCCTTCCTTCCTTCCTTCCTTCCTTCCCATGGTGATACAGTGGTTAGAATGCAGTATTGCCGGCTGATTCTGCTCACTGCCAGGAGTTCGATCCTGACCAGCCCAAGATTAATTCAGCCTCCCATCCTTCCAAGGTTGGTAAAATGAGGACCCAGATTGTTGGGAGCAATAAGCTGACTCTGTAAACCACTTAGAGAGAGCTTTAAAACCTGTGAAGTTGTATATAAGTCTAAGGGCTATTGCTAGTCCTTCCTTCCTTCCTTCCCTCCGTTTCTTCTTTCTCTCTCTCTCCCTCCCTCCCTTTCTTCTTTCTCTCTCTCCCTTTTCTCCTTCCTTCCTTCCTTCCTTCCTTCCTTCCTTCCTTCCCATGGTGATGCAGTGGTTAGAATGCAAGGCTGACTCTGCTCACTGCCAGGAGTTCGATTCTGACCGGCTCAAGGTTGACTCAGCCTTCCATCCTTCCGAGGTGGGTCAAATGAGGAGCCAGATTGTCGGGGGGCAAGAGGCTGACTCTGTAAACCGCTTAGAGAGGATCTGCAAAGCCCCGTGAAGCGGTATATAAGTCTAAGTGCTATTGCTATTGCTACAGTAGACCCAAATGACTGAGGTGGATTTGCAGGCCGTTTGAAGAAGGAAATCTAAAAATAGGAACGGCCGCCAAAGAGCCTCCCTTTGGTATAATTATAATTGATGGCTCTATCGTACCTTTGTAATTCCAGAAGGAAATCTGAATCTCAGTCCTTGGGAGGGGAAAAAAACCCTTGCTGTTTCCATATCCTGTTTATAAACTGTTCCAGAACCAGCTCCCTTAGCATGAGATGCCTCCTCCATCTGTCAGCTTCAAAGATGACCTTGGTCTGGTCTGGTTGATCTCATTGCTTTATTGCACGTCAACCTGGCTTGTGGAGGACGGCAGAGTAATTATTGCAGAGAGTTTTAGTTTCTCAACTCCACTCTCCAACCCATTTGGTGCCTTGCCATTCTCTACAGCTGGCGACTCTCCTGTTTTCTCCTCCTCTCGCGCTTCATCAGTCGGGGATTCTTACATTTGACACACCATAACCGAGATGGAAGGGACCTTAGAGGTCTTCTAGTCCAACCCCCTGCTCAAGCAGGAGACCTTTTACAATTTGAGACAAGTGGCTGTCCAGTCTCTTCTTTAAACCCTCCAGTGATGGAGCACCCCACAACTTGGTGGCGCAGCGGACTAAAGCGCTGTTAAAGTAGCACTTAGCTGCCAGCTGCCTGCAATTACTGCGAGTTCAAATCTCACCAGGCTCAAGGTTGACTCAGCCTTCCATCCTTTCGAGGTAGGTAAAATGAGGACTCGGTTTGTGGGGGCAATAAGCTGACTTTGTATAAAAAAGAACACTGCTCAGGGGGGCCCAAAAAGCCCTACTAAGCAGGTATATACAAAAGTATGAAGGCTATTGCTTAATGCATTGTAAGCCGCCCTGAGTCTCCGGAGAAGGCGGCATAAATCGAACCAATCAATCAATCAATCAACTAACTAACTAACTAACTAACTAACTAACTAACTAACTAACTAACTTCTGAAGGCAAGCTGTTCCACGGATTAACTGTTCTCACTGTTAGGAAGTTTCTCCTTATTTCTAGATTGCTTCTTTCCTTGATCAGTTTCCATCCATTGCTTCTTGTCCTGGCTTTAAGTGCTTTGGAGAATAGGTTGAGCGACTCACCATCAGCCCCTCCCATGTTGGAACACTGCTTTCATGTCACCCCTAGTCCTTCTTTTCATTAGACTAGACATACCCAATTTGAAGGACATTCCTGAACCATGGATGCCGTTAGACCCCAGGAAGAATGAACATCTTCCTGGAAACTCCTGAAAAGTTCTCAAATTCTGGTTCCTCCTTCATAACATATTGGCGTGGTCCCATCCATTGGCTGTCGTCTGTTGACAAGGCGCAAATGACAGTTTTTGGCAAGGTCAGAGTTGGAAGGGGTCTGGGAGGCCTTCTAGACCAACCCCCTGCTCAAGCAGGAGATGCCATACCATTCCAGACTAATGATTGTCCTTAAAAGCCTCCAGTGATGGAGCAGGCACAGGTTCTGAAGGCAAGCTGTTCCACTCGTTAATTGTTCCAACTGTCAGAAAATTCTAGGTTGGTTCTTTTTTTGGGGGGGGGGAATAGAATAACAGTTGGAAGGGACCTTGGAGGTCTTCTAGTCCAACCCCCTGCTCAGGCAGGAAACCAGACAAACGGTTGTCCAGTCTCTTGTTGAAAACCTCCAGTGATGGAGCATTTACAACTTCTGGAGGCAAGATGGTTCCACTGATTAATTCTTCCTCACTGTCAGGAAATTTCTCCTTAGTTCGAGGTTGCTTCTCTCCTTGATTAGTTTCCACCCATTGCTTCTTGTCCTACCTTCAGGTGTTTTGGAGAATAGGTTGATCCTCTCAAGGACTCCACTTTTGCAGGCCGGGAACCTGGCCCTGCCCAGGGTGAAGCTGTGTTGTTGGCAGATGGTGGCATTTTGCATCCGATGAGCTCCACCCATCCTGCTCTGCTTGGCAGGTTTCCCTGCACCCGGGGCCCTTCTGGAATGCGCTGTGCGGGAGGAAAAGCTTCTAAAAACAGCTCTGCCAATAAAGAAGCGATCTATCATTCTTCCACGCTGGCTCCTTAAGCAGAACCTCCCTCTGAAATTTGCAGACTGGACAGAACCTGTCCACCCAGCTCACAATAGCTGCCCTGTTCTCTCTCTCTCTCCCTCTCCCCCCCCCCACCTCCCTCTGGAATTTTGGAGAGGTAAAATTTGACGTTGGAGGAGAAGGTCCCTCAGACTGCAAGGAGATCCAATCCAGTGGTGAATTGCCCCCGGTTTGGACTGGTTCGCAAGAACCTGTCAGAACCTGCTGGATTTCACCCCTGCTCCAGTAGTGGGTTGCCCCAGGTTCGCAAGAACAGGTAGTAAAACCAGCAGGAGGCTCCGCCCACTGAACCGGTCGTCATCAAAGTTGATCTGCGCTTGTGCAGAAGAGCGTGCGTGTGATGCGAACCGGTAGTAAAGGTAAGTAGAACCCACCCCCCTGATCCAATCAGTTGATCCTAAAGGAAACGAACCCTGACTGTTCTTTGGAAGGACAGAGACTGAAGCTCGGAGTTCAACTACTTTGGGCCACCAAAGGAGAAAAGAGGAACCCTGGGAAAAGACATTGACGCTGGGAACGATGGAAGGAATGACAGAATGACAAGAGTCAGAAGGGACTTTGGAGGTCTTCTTGTCTAGCTCAAGCATTCTGGATAATCTACTGTACATCTTAGACCTTAACAGAATAACAGAGTTGGAAGAGACCATGGAGCAGGGCAGGGGTGGGTTCTATTTACCTTTGCTACCAGTTCGTAATGGGATCACGCGTGCGCAGATTGCCAATGATGACATCCGGGGTGGTGGGCGGGGCCTCCCGCCGGTTTTACTACCGGTTCTTGTGAACCGGGGGCAACCCATTACTGGAGCAGGGGTGAAATCCAGCAGGTTCTGACAGGTTCTGGCGAACCGGTAGCGGAAATTTTGAGCAGTTTGGAGAATTGGCAAAGAGCACCTCTGGCTGGCCCCAGAGTGGGGTGAGGAATGAAGATTTTGCAGTATCCTTCCCCTGCCATGCCCACCAAGCCACGCCATGCCACACCCACCAAGCCACGCCCACAGAACCGTTAGTAAAAAAAAAAATTCGGATTTCACCACTGCCTTGGAGGTCTTCTAGTCAAGCAGGAGGCCCTATCCCAGGGATGGCGAACGTTTTTGGCACCGAGTGCCAAAGAGAGAGAGAGAGCGCATGCGCGTCTGGGCTGCAACCTGGAAGAGGAGCCGCTCACAGCGCATGCCTGTGCCCGAAAATGAACTTCCGGTTTCAGCTACTGAACTTCCGGTTTCAGCCACCTACTCTTCCGGGTTTCTGGCGCGCATTCGCACGCGACAATCAGCTGGCCGGCACGCATGCTCATGCAGGAAAACAGAAAACCATTTTTTCTAGTTTCCAGCATTGCCGCATGCAAAAACGCCAGTTGATCGTCGTGCGCACATGCACGCCAGAAACACGGAAGAGGAACGGGCGACGCTGCACATGCTAGGCGACATGGCTCTGCATGCCATTTTGGGCACCTCGTGCCATAAGTTCATCATCGTGACCCTCTACCATTCCAGACAATCTCTTCTAAAAAGCCTCCAGCGATGGAGCAAACACAACTTCCGGATCGAAGCCATTCCACTGATTAACTGGGATTATAGTATAACTGGAAGGGTCCTTGGAGGTCTTTTAGCTCAACCCCCCTGTGCTCAAGTAGAAGACCTTATAGTACAGTGATGGCTAACCTTTTTGCCGTCGCGTGCCACAAGCTGGGGGAGTGCGGGGTAGTCACGCACGTGTGTGCCCACACCCATAATTCTATGCGCCCTGCTCCCCCACACATGCGTGCGTGATCCCCCCATGCTGCCCCCACTTTTGACATATGATAGCACAGTGGGCACGGTAGGCCCGTTTTTTTGCCCTCCCCAGGCTCCAGAGGCTTTCTAGGAGCCTGGGGAGGGCAAAAACAGCCTTCCCCCCCTCCTCCCCGGAGGCTCTCCGGTGGCCGAAACAGCCCGTTTGCCGACTTCCGGTGGGCCCAGAAGGACCAAAAATCAGTTGTCCAGTATGCGCATGTGTGCTGGAGCTAAACTAGGGCAATGCTTGCGTGCCCACCAATATGGCTCGGCGTGTCACCTGTGGCACGCGTGCCATACATTCGCCATCACGGTTATAGTACCACCCTGTCCAATCGCTTCTTAAAAATCTCCAGTGTAGGAGCCCCCCCCCCCCCACACACACACACAACTTCTGGAGGCAAGTCGTTCCGCTGGCGAATTGTTTTTCACTGCCGGGAAATTTCTCCGTTCCTTCCAGGAGATTCCAGAAGAATCTTCCCTCGAATTCCAGAAGAGGGAAGATTCGGCGTGAAAATTCGCCGTCGGTAGGGCTGTGTTTTCCTGCAAAGGAAATGCGAAGGAAGCCAGCGAGGTGCCTGCTTCTACGTGCCGTGTGCACCCTCTCTGTGTCTCCTGTGCCACAATGTCTGCACCGCTTCCGAAACAACCAGCAGCGTTCGGAGTCTCGTCGGAGATTAGACTCGTGGGGTTTCATTTCCTGAGCCCCTGGTGTTTCTGCCCCCCCCTTTCTGTGGAGATATGATCCATGCATCCTGCATAGCCAAGGAAGAGGGGAGGAAAATATGTTTTGATGCTCCCAGCATCTGGGTTTCTCCTTGTAGTTTGTTTTTTTTTTCTTTTTTTCCCCTTTTGTGGGTCCATTCGTGACTCTCGCTGGGTGTGATTAACAGAGATACTAAAGACCAAGAGGATTTATGGGGCTGTCTGAGCCACAGCCTCTCTTCCCACGCTTCCCTTTTTTTCCTTCGGCTGGGTTGGGCCTTCTTGCTTGCTGTCAGCTGCAGTATTTTATAACAGCGTTGGAAAGAGGCTGCTTGCTGTATTTATCTCGGGGTTTGTTCTTTCGGGTTCCCTGCTGATGCTTTGTGGCGTCCGTCGCTCGGCTTCTTCCTCCTGCAGTGTTGTGAATGTCCTTTGCTGCATTCGGCCACTTTTCAGCTCCCAAAACAGCTCACTTTATTCTGACTAGGAGGAAGGAGCATGGGGAGGAGAGGGGAGAGGGATGGAAGAGAGGGAGGGAAGGAAGGAAGGAAATAAAGAAAGCAAAAACAGGAAGGAAGAGGAAGGAAGGAAGGAAGGAAGGGGAAGGAAGGAGAAGTGAGGCTAGGAGAGGAAAGGAAAAAAGAGGAGTATGGGACAGAGAGGGGAGGGAGGGAGGGAAGGAAGGAAGGAAAAAAAAAAGGAAGAGAAAGAAAAAAAAAGAAAGAAAGGGGGAGGAAGGAAGGAGAAACGAGACTAGGAGAGGAGAGAAGGGAGATAACAAGAAGAAGGAGTATTGGGAGGGGAGAGGGATGGGAGGGAGGGAATAAAGAAAAAAGAAAAAAAGAAAAAGGAAGGAAGGAAGGAGGAAGAAAAAAGAAGCAAGGGAAAGGAAGGAAGGAAATAAAGTAAAAAAGGAAGGAAGAGAAAGAAAAAGGAAGGAAGGAAGAAAAAAGGGAGGGAAGGAAGGAAAAGAGGAGAGGAAGGAAGGAGGAAGAAAGAAGGGAGAGAAAGGGAAGAAGAGAAAGGGAGAGTAGAGTAGAGGAGAAGAGAAGAGAAGAGAAGAGAAGAGAAGAGAAGAGAAGAGAAGACAGTTGGGTCAAAGTAGCCACCCACTCATTTCTCCATTCCCTCTCCAGTTCCGCAGTCCTTTCCCCCTGAATCACAAAGAAGGAATCCCAGACATGCCATTGGGAAAGCCTTGACGAGGAACCCCCTTCCTTCCTTCCTTCCTTCCTTCCTTCCTTCCTTCCTTCCTTCCTTCCTTCCTTCCTGCGGGGGAGTCAATTTTGCAAAGCTTGAAGCGGAGAAATGATGCCGTCTCTCTGATTCATTCTCCCAGCATCTTCCTTAGTCACTTTCTCTCACTTGTTCTTCCCCCATGGAAATCTGGATAGAAATTTGGATCTTTCCCATTTTTTTTTTTCTTTTTCTTCCCCCGCCGTGATTTACTTCTGCCAGTTTCAAGGCCCGAGACGAGAGGCATTTCTCTTGGGAATGAATACAAGCGCCACGAAAGCGTGGCTTTCTCCTTCTCTTCAGTTGTGGCAACTTACAGCTGGCATCAAAGGGGTTCTTTAAGACGGTGGAGAAATTAAGAGGAAGAGGACAGTAAAAGAACAGCCCCGAACAAATAAAAATGAAAGTTACAAGGATAAGATGAATGATTAATGATGGATAAGAGACTGTACACCTAAATATGTTCATGAGAAATAGAAATTAAACAAAATTATATGCAAAAAAAAAAAAAAAGAGGAAGAGGAGAGTGATAAGATGAGACAAGATTATGAAGGGATAAAGGCTTTTCGAAAACCAGGGCTAGAAAGATCGAAATATAAAAGCACGTTTTTGTCAGGGGGTAACCCACAGTTTACAATTTCTCTTGAGGGTTGAATAAAAGAAAGAGAGAAAGAAAAAACAGATGCCATGGAAGATAAACATTCAAATCCAGCCATTTGGGGAAAATATTTTTAACACTTGATTCTAGGTAATTCAGGATGAATGCGCTGAGATTTATAGTCCTCCCCTCCTCTTCCTCTTCCTCCTCCTCCTCCCTTCTCCTTCTAATTCTTCTCTTCTCTTCTGCCCTCCTCCTTTCTCCTTTCTTCTCCTTCTCCCTTCTTTCATTCTAATTCTTCTTTTCCTCTGCCCTTTTCCTCCTGCTCTCCTTCTCCTCCTCCATTCTTCCTTCTTCTCATTCTTATTCTTCTCTTTTGCCCTCTTTCTCCTCCTCCTCCCCCTTTCCCCCTTCTTCTTTCTTCCTACGTCTCATTCTTATTCTTCTAATTCTTTTCTTCCTTAGCCCCCCTCCTCCTCCTCTTCCTCCTTCTCCTCTTCTTCTTTCTCCTCCTCCTCCTCCTCCTCCTCTTCCTCCTCCTCCTCCTCCTCCTCCTCCTCCTCCTCCTCCTCCTCCTCCTCCTCTTCTTCTTCTTCTTCTTCTTCTTCTTCTTCTTCTTCTTCTTCTTCTTCTTCTTCTTTCTCCTCCTCCTCCTCCTCCTCCTCTTCTTCTTCTTTCTCCTCCTCTTCCTCTTCCTCTTCTTTTTCCTCCCCCTCCCCCTCCTCCTCTTCAGGTGTCAATGGAGAGATGGCTATCATAGACTTTGTTTTTTTGAGGGTGATCTTTGGACCAAAACCTTCTCAGCTCTGCCTGAATTCATCACATGGGGTCCCCGGTCCATTGAATTCTTTTCTTAGGAGTCTCAAAATGGGGGTGAAATAATCTTAGCTGCCTGTTTTCTGCTTCGCTCCTTTCCAGGGATTCCAGAAGAGTCCAAAGTTGAGGCTCCTGCATTCACCGACGCTGTGCGGATGTATCGCCAGTCGAAGGAGCAGTACGGCACCTGGGACATGCTTTGTGGCAACGAAGCCCAGGTGAGTGTTATATATTTGGAAAGCTCTAGCTCTGAGTTTCAGGGTGGTTGGGGTGGGCTAGTTGGCTTCTGAACCCCCCCCCCCTTGGCAACCCTCCTCTGACTTAAATGCATGCAATTTTGAATAATTTTTTAAATAATTAGGAAAAGGAAGCTTGGATTGATTAACTGCTGGCCAATTTTCCTTGTACTGTTGGAACAGTTGAGTAGACGAGAGCTGTTTGGTGCCTTCGGCTGTTGGATGACTTGAATGGAAGTTGTTAGCAAGAGGCTTGTGGATTGAGACTTGCCATCTCTCTCATCCCACCCTGTTTATAGTGTTGCACACCCACACTTGAGGCTCGGTTGAGGCATGGGCAAAAGTCTTCCATGGGAAACTGTAGTCGTGTCGTCCCCAGGGAAGTAGGGATGTAGCAGAGGTGGAGAACTGCATTTGGCACTGCAAGGGGAGGGAGGGAAGAAAGGAAGGGAGGAAGGAAGGGAGGGAGGAAGGAAGGAAGAATGGAAGGAAGGAAGGAATTGGGAAAAGGGAGGGAGGACATGGAAGAAGGAGGGAAGGGAGGGAGCAGGAAGGGAGGAAGAATGGAAGGGAGGGAAGAAGAATGGAAGGATGGAAGGAAGGAAGGAAGGAAGAATGGAAGGGAGGAAGGAAAAATGGAAGGGAGGAAGGAACAATAGAAGGGAAGAAGGAAGGAAGGAATTGGGAAAAGGGAGGGAGGACATGGAGGAAGGAGGGAAGGGAGGGAGCAGGAAGGGAGGAAGGAAGGAAGAATGGAAGGGAGGAAGGAAGAATGGAAGGGAAGAAGGAAGGGAGAAAGGAAAGAAGAGGAAGAATGGAAGGGAGGAAGGAAAAATGGAAAGGAGGAAGGAAGAATAGAAGGGAAGAAGGAAGGAAGGAAGAATGGAAGGAAGGAAGGAAGAATAGAAGGGAAGAAGGAAGGAAGGAAGAATGGAAGGAAGGAAGGAATTGGGAAAAGGGAGGGAGGACATGAAGGAGGGAAGGGAGGGAGCAGGAAGGGAGGAAGAATGGAAGGGAGGAAGGAAGAATACAAGGGAGGGAGGGAGGAAGAATAGAAGGAAGGAAGGAAGAATGGAAAGAAGGGAGGGAAGAAGGAAGAATGGAAGGGAAGAAGGAAGGAAGGAGTGGGGAAGTAGGGGAGAGGAGAATCCTGGCTTTGTGGGCCTTCAGCATTTTCATTTCCCAGATTTGACTCCTCTTCCTTCTAAGTGAGAAAGTTTGGGATGAGGGGAATGAAATAATAAACCAATGAAGGGGAGAGTTGTCTGTGAAACAGCAGGTGAATGGGGACATGGTTGTGACTGACAGGCTGTGATTATTTTGTTGTCTAGATCTTGAGCAACCTGGTGATGGAGGAGCTCCTGCCTGAGCTGAAGAATACGATTAGCCCCCGGCTGAAGGGCAAAGAGCAAGAGAGACAAAGGGCCTGGATTCAGGTAGGGACCATCTTGTGTTGCAAGTCGCTGCTAGAAGGTGCAATGGAAGAAGAGATAGATAGATAGATGATAGATAGATAGATAGATAGATAGATAGATAGATAGATAGATAGATGAGAATGAGAAGATAGAGATGGAAGAGGAGATAGATGAGGAGGAGAAAGGAGAGAAGGAGAAGATAGAGAAGGAGAAAATGGAGAAGAAAAATGAGAATGAGAAAAGAAGGGGAAGATGGAGGAGGAGGAGGAGATAGATGAGAAGGAGAAAAGGAGAAGGGAGAAGATAGAGAAGGGAGAGAAGATAGAGAAGGAAAAGGAGAATGTAGAGAAGGAGAAAACAGCTAAAGAAAAGGGGAAGGAAAAAGAGAGAAGATTGATAAGGAGGCGAAGATAGAGAAGGAAAAGGAGAATGTAGAGAAGGAGAAAACAGTTAAGGAAAAGGGGAAGGAAAAAGAGAGGAGAAGATTGATAAGGAGGCGAAGATAGAGAAGGAAAAGGAGACTGTAGAGAAGGAGAAAACAGTTAAGGAAAAGGGGAAGGAAAAAGAGAGGAGAAGATTGATAAGGAGGCGAAGATAGAGAAGAAAAAGGAGAATGTAGAGAAGGAGAAAACAGTTAAGGAAAAGGGGAAGGAAAAAGAGAGGAGAAGATTGATAAGGAGGCGAAGATAGAGAAGAAAAAGGAGAATGTAGAGAAGGAGAAAACAGTTAAAGAAAAGGGGAAGGAAAAAGAGGAGAAGGAGAAGATAGATAAGGAGAAGGGAGAAAAGATTGGATCTAGTATAAAAATGAGGATTGGTTCTTTAAAAAAGGGAAACTGTAAACAGTTCTTATGGCCTAAAGTTTCTAATGCTCCACCCAAAAACTCCTCTCGGTGTTCGGCCTCTTCTTTGTGGGTGTTCTCCTCTCCGTAGGATTTTTTTCCTCTAAAGTTCATTTGCACTTTTGCAAAGCTTGGAGTTTTAGGCCAAGCCCGGGAAAAATCTCCCTCTTTGTGCCCCGCTGCTGACATTTTCACATTGGCAGTGAACGAAATCGTGGCAGGATTGTGGGAAACGGGACTTGCCCTGTGCTGTTTGCCAGAAGCTAATAACTCTGCTCTAAATATTAATTTGCGTGATGTCAGGTGCATGAAATATGCCCGAGATAAATTACCGCTACTGTTTATTCAATTTACAAACTTATCGTTTTGCCCAGAGGTTGGAATAATAAAGACAGAATACGTTATTATTCCGGTCTCTTCCTCAACATTCAGTCAACCCAACCTTCTTTCTTTGCATTCCATTTCTAAGTGACTAGTCCTCTTTGACTGCAAAAGTGAGCTTACCATCGTGGGCGGGGCCACCCTGGGCAGGAGGGTTGTGAATTCCAGAAGCAAGGAGTCATCTGGGAGGAAGGTGTAGTTTTGCTGAACTAGCAGGAAATCTCTTCCATCCTTGAAATATCGTGCTGTAGATATCTTGTGCCTGCATAGTTGGACCTGTTCTCATTTCAATTTTTAATGTGACATTTTGGGATGGGTGGATGGACAGATGATAGAGATAGATTGATTGATAGACTGTTGATGGGTGGGTGAGTGGGTGGATGGATAGATAGATAGATAGATAGATAGATAGATAGATAGATAGATAGATTAGATAGATTAGATAAATAGATAGATATAGATAGATAGATAAATACATACATACATAGATACATATACATACAATAGATGGATGGATGGATGGATGGATGGATGGATGGATAGATAGATAGATAGATAGATAGATAGATAGATAGATAGATATAGATATTAGATAAATAGATAGATATATATAGATTGATAGATACATCATACATACATAGATACATATACATACAATGGATGGATGGATGGATGGATAGATAGATAGATATAGATATTAGATAGATAGATAGATGATAGATAGATAGATAGATAGATAGATAGATAGATAGATAGATAGATAGATATAGATAATAGATAGATAGATAGATAGATAGATAGATAGATAGATAGATAGATAGATAGATAGATAGATATAGATAGATAGATACATACATACATACGTATACATATACATATACATATACATATACATACAATAGATGGCTGGCTGGCTGGCTGGCTGGCTGGCTGGCTGGCTGGCTGGCTGGCTGGCTGGCTGGATAGATAGATAGATAGATAGATAGATAGATAGATAGATAGATAGATAGATAGATAGATAGAGGTAGGTAGGTAGGTAGGTAGGTAGGTAGGTAGGTAGATAGATAGATAGATAGATAGATAGATAGATAGATAGATAGATAGATAGATAGATAGATAGAGATAGATAGATAGATAGATAGATAGATAGATAGATATTTGCAGACTGATGTCACTGCAGGCTTTTGACTTGGTAAAACAAGGAGTCTCCGTTTTTCATTTTGTTTATGTGTGGGTGTCGTTAGGCATGACCTCATTTCGGCATAAAAGTTCTTCTTCTTTTTCCCACCCTCCCTGCCTTTTCCAAAAACAAAAACCTGCTCCAACACACCTTTATACTGTATATTTATTTGATCAATATCTGGGCTGCCGGCCAGGTACAAAACTAAAATAAACCCTTCCAGCCAGTTTCTCTACACCTTTTTCTTTTTTTAACACCTTGAAGGTCTAAAAGCATCATCCAAGAAATGTCTTTGAAAAATACGACCAGGTGACGATAAGGAGCGAGAAACAGCCTTCTGTGGGTTTCAGTTTATAGCTATAGGGTGTCCAGTCTCCATCTACTGTGTTTCCCCGAAAATAGGATTGGGTCTTATATTAATTTTTGCTCCAAAAGGCGCATTAGGACTTATTTTCCGGTTGGGTCTTATTTTTATTTTTTTTAATTTGATTTATATGCCGCCCTTCTCCGGAGACTCAGGGTGGCTTACAATGCGTTAAGCAATAGCCTTCATTCTTTTGTATATTTTATACAAAGTCAGCTTATTGCCCCCACAAACTGGGTCCTCATTTTGGGGGAAATACAGTACTAAATGCACCCATCTGGCTGACAATCTTAACGGGGGCTTATTTTGTGGGGTAGGGCTTATATTACAAGCATCCTGAAAAATCGTGCTAGGGCTTATTTTCTGGTTGGGTCCCATTTTCAGGGAAACAGGGCAGGGGTGAAATCCAGCAGGTTCTGGAGAACCGGTAGCGGAAATTTTGAGTAGTTCCGAGAACCGGCAAATACCACCTCTGGCTGGGCCCAGAGAGGGGTGGGAATGGAGATTTTGCAATATCCTACTCCCAGGAGTGGGGAGGGAATGGAAATTTTGCAGTATCCTTCCCCTGCCATTCTTACCAAGCCACGCCCACAGAACCTGTAGTAAAAAAATTGGATTTCACCACTGAAACAGAGGTATATTTAGCTTTTAGTTCACAGGGAGATAATTCTATCTGGCTTTTTTTGGGGGGGGGAGAATAAATATTGCCCTGTGAGCCAACACAAAATCTTATTTTTAAAAGTAAGTATTCAACACTCGGTGTTTGCTCGATCAATGAATTGTAGCGTTGTCTTCCAGGGCACTGATATCTCTCCGTTGATGAAAGAAACCCTGTTTTTGTGTGTGTGTGTGTGTGTGTGTGTAAACCTCCCCATTTCCTTGCCCAAGACTTCTTCCCATAATATACACTATACTGTACATATTTCTAGATTATATGCCAAGGCTGTCTGTTGGTGAGTGGGTGGATCCTGCAGGAATGCCAAGGAAAACCAGACTTTTGAGCTTTCCTGGAAAATTTAACTTTTTTCTTAATGTCAATGTTTCTATGAAAACTGGTGTTTGCTTGAAACTTTAGAAAGCAATGAAGACAAAAAGGATAGCTGATCTAATGTATACAACTCACAATTGCAGCATGCCTAGACCAATCTTCCTTCCTTCCTTCCTTCCTTCCTTCCTTCCTTCCTTCCTTCCTTCCTTCCTTCCTCCCTCCCTCCCTCCCTCCCTCCCTCCCTCCCTCCCTCCCTCCTATAACTCTTCCTTTCTTCCTTCTCATTCATGTCTCCCTCCTTCCTTCTCTCCTTCCTCTCTCTTTCCTTCCTTCACTCCCTCCCTCCTCCCTTCCTTCTCTCCTTCCTGTCTCTTTCCTTCCTCTCTCATTCATATCTCCCTCCCTCCTTCCTTCCTTCTCTCATTGCTATCTCTTCCTTTCCTTTCATTCCTTCCTCCTTCCCTTCCCTCCCTCCTTCCCTTCTCCCATATCCGTAAATTCGTAAAATCTCTGATCTCCGTGCCAGGCGGGGCTATCAATGTAAAGATTTTAATTGGTTTTAAAATGGGATTTTAAATTAGGGGTTTTATAATTGAGCCTTTATATAATAATTTTAATTATTTTTAGATTTTGTCTGTCTTGTGCTTTTAATCAGGCTGTACACCGCCCTGAGTCCTTTGGGAGAAGGGCGGTATAGAAATAAAATTAATAAATAAATAAATAAAATCCCTTTCTTCCTTCTCTCATTCCTGTCTCCTTCCTTCCTTCCTTCCTTTCTTCCTTCCTTCCTTCCTTCCTTCCTTCCTTCCTTCCTTCCTTCCTTCCTTCCTTCCTTCCTGATATTTTTTATAACCTATAGCTTATTCCAGGTTGAAGAACAGAACTAACTTTCTATAAAATAAATATAAACATGGAATGTACAGTTTATAGCAAATCATTTATTTATTTATTTGGTCCAATGAACGAGTCATCATTTTTGTTTGTTCGTTGCATCTTTCGTTATGGTTTGCTAGATTTCCCCCTTCCCCGTTTTTTTAAAAAAAGAAAGAGTCATAAAGTTTCCTGTTTGGGTTGGCCGATCTAATTTTTTTCTTACAACCATCAATTGTTCCCTTTTTGGTAGATCTCAGATGCCGTGTACAGGATGGTGTGTGACCAGGCGACTTCCCATTACGATTCTTTAGTGGCCAAATGTGAGCTTCAGATCCCTGAAATGAAGAGCATCATCCGGACAGATATGGATCAGATCATCCAGTCCAAGGAACATCTGGCCAACAAAATCCGGGGTGAGTTATAACTGGTGAATTTTAACTGCTAATTGTGGATTTTTCTTCCATTGTAATATCTACACCCAGTTGACCTTCTTGGATAATTCCGGCGACTAGTATTATATCACCCCACTACAAAAAAAAAAAAGATGCAGAGACTCTAGAAAGAGTGCAGAGAAGAGCAGTGAAGAGAATGAGGGGACTGGAGGCTAAAACATATGAAGAACGGTTGCAGGAATTGGGTACGTCTAGTTTAGTGAAAAGAAGGACTAAGGGAAGACATGATAGCAGTCTTCCAATACTTGAAGGGCTGCCACAATAGAGAGGTAGGTAACTAGAGCAGGGGTCTGCAACCTTAAACACTCAAAGAGCCATTTGGACCCTTTTCGCACAGAAAAGAAAACACCGGGAGCCACAAAACCTGGCTGGGCGTGGCCAACTCCACGTCACTCACTTCCACCAGTCACATGACTCCCTCTCTGTATTTTTCTATGTCTCTCTCTCTCTCCTCCTCTCTCTGTATCTCACTGTCTCTGCCCCAGCCGCTTCTCCATCACCCTTACCTTTTCCGGCCAAGCGAGGAGTGACTGGTAGAGGAGAGTGAGGGGCGGGCCCAGCCAGTGGTGGGATCACCCAATAGGGAGCCACAGCAGAGGGCCCAAAGAGCCGCATGCGGCTCTGGAGCCGCAGGTTGCTGACAGCTGTACTAGAGAGAAGCTCCCTGAGGATGAGGGAGTCCAATGAGTCCAAAAGCTCAGAAGACAAAACCTCTGGTCCCGGTGACCGACCTAGATTGAATCCTGCAACATTATCCTGGGACATGTAGATTGACCTTCATTCATGAGGAAGGTAAAGCTATTTTTTTTAAGGCAAAATAAGAAGCAGTGGACGGAAAGCAATCAAGGAGAGAAGCAACCTAGAACGAAGGAGGAAATTCCTTAACAGTGAGGACAATCAAACCAGTGGGATGCCTTGCCTTCAAAAGTTGTGGTCGCTCCATCCCTGGAGGCTTTTAAGAAGAGATTGGACAGACATTTGTCTGGAAAGGAATAGATCTCCTGCATGAGCAGGGGGTTGGGCTAGATGACCTCCACGGTCCCCTCCAAATCTGTTTACTGTTATTAATAAGAGCTGGGGGAAAAAAATCAATATGTTTCCTTCACAAAATGCCTAGGATAAAATGTTTGCATAATTCTCATTATCGCGGCTCTATTTTTACTTCCGATCAACCTTGCAATGTTCTTCTCGTCGTGGCATGTTTTGGAAGAATTGAGCCATAGAACAGTCAGGCTTGGATGGGACTGTAGAGGTCTTCTAGTTCAACCCCCTGCTCCATGTTCTGACCTAGGCTTCCCCAGCAGCACGAAGCCGAGTCCTCGTCCCGATAAACCCCTTTTATTTAATTGACAGTGAATTCCTCTCCAGCAAAGTCTTTCCTCTCCCACGGTCTTTCAAGGTAGTTCAGAATTACCGACCTTTATCGGGCTTGGAGAGTGGCCAGGCCGATATCTTTCAGACTCCACACTGTAACTGACAATACTTGGCAAGAATGCAGGAACAGATCTTCACCCAAATGAAATAATTGTTTCCTGCAAACTCCCCTTCCCTTTCGCTCCTCTTTATTCCCATTCACCCTCCACCTGTGGCTTTACTCCTGAGTCGACCCTTGTTCCTTAGCTGTTTCCTTCTCCTAGCAGCTCTGCACATGCGCATACTGGGAACAGGCTACAGCTTTTCTTCTGCCTCACTGATGTCCGACTCCGAAGGCAGCTGACAACTGTCAGACGGCCCTGGCCCCCTCTCTGCCTCCGGCGCAGAGCCCTCGTCTGAGCCTTCCCCAGACTCCAGGACTGGCCCATGTTCCTCCCCAGCCTCCTCACTGTCTGAATCTGCTGCCAGATCCTCTGGCCGCTGGCGGGCCACAACACTCCAGAAGTTACTGTACTACATCTCCCATCGTTGCCTATCGTTGCCCAAACTGGCTAGGTCCATTGGGTGTGGCTTCCTGAAGGTCTTGAGCATGGTTAGATATTCAAAAACATCTGGAGAACTACAGGTTCCTCATATCTATTTTACTGGATGGAGATCCACCATAGTTTCTTTTTTCTTGGGCAATCTGAATTGGGCTTGTTGGGTTTCTTAAATAAACAGAGATGGTGGGTCTGAGTTGTCCTTCTACTATTCTTCTCCTCCAGCCTCCGTCTTCTCCAAAGCTGAGGTCTGTGTCCGGAATCATGTCCAACCCTACATCACTTCCATTTTGGAAGCTCTGATGATCCCCACCAGCCAGGGATTTACAGAAGTTCGGGAAGTCTTCTTCAAGGACGTCACTGACATGAACATGAATATTGTCAACGAAGGAGGGATAGAGAAGCTGGGAGAGGTAAAGGCAAATGTTGAGGGGAACAAGAACGAGCAGACGGAGTCGTTCTTTTGGGTGGCAAAAAAGTTGCGAGCCTGGACAACAATGTGTTGGAGGGAGAGTTGATCAAAATTGTTTTCAGAGGTCTCTCCTTGCCTCTCTTTTTATTTTTTTGAAGGTCTCAAATGTAGGGATTGATGTGGAGGAATCCTTTAAAAAGACTGTGTTGCCCTTAGCAAGAAAGATGTTGGAGGTCTATCTTTGCTGAGATGTTGGACCTTCTAAATCCTTCTTTTCCTCCCCCACCCAGTACATGGAGAAGCTTTCTCAGCTCGCTTTCCATCCCGTGAAGATGCAGTCCTGCTATGAGAAGATGGACCAGCTGAAGCTGGAAGGTCTCCAGCAGAGGTTTGATGTCTCCAGTGCCTCCGTGTTCAAACAGCGTGCCCAAATCCTGATGAGGCAGGTAAGGGAATGCTTTAAGAAAGAACTTGTGTCAATAAATGGACTCCTGCATGTTATGGCCAGCTCAGAAGCCATTGCTGATCTCCAGCAACTTAAGACAGATACCTTAGTCAAAAAGCCATTGATAGAAGCCTACAATCCATGAACGTGCCTGCTCATCTTTTCAAGAGGTCCAAATTATGAGAAAGAATTCAGTTAGCTGCCCCAAATATTACGGTAACTGTTTCCTTCCTTCCTTCCTTCCTTCCTTCCTTCCTTCCTTCCTTCCTTCCTTCCTTCCTTCCTTCCTTCCTTCCTTCTTTCTTTTTTCTTCCTTCTTTCCTTCCTTCCTTCCTTCCTTTCTTCCTTTCTTCCTTCCTTCCTTTCTTTCTTTCTTTCTCAGTGCCAGCCAGACGTGGGCTGGCCCTTCCCAACTTCTAAGACAACTGGAGCCCTCTAGTGACCAGGAAAATTTACAATAATTCTGTCTTTCTTTTTGTGCTATATTGGCTTCTAGAAATATTTTTCTTTAATGGAAGGGCTTGGACACGTTGTACTGACGATCTAAAATGATGATATGACAGGCTGACTCTGTAAACCCCTTAGAGGGCTGTAAAGCACTGTGAAGCGGTATATAAGTCTAAGTGCTACTGCTATCATGACAGGGGAAGAAATATATTGTTCTCTTCATGTGCCATGTATGCTTTCATGGGTCTCCGTGCAGATGGGTGTGCCCCCTTTCTGGCTCCAATGTTTACTGTAATCCTTTTTCATAGAATTGCTATTTCATCCTCTTGATTATTATTTTGTTGAAGGACAAGGTTTTCCCATCTCTGATCTGGTGGCCTCTCTGTAATTATTCCTGACGTTCTAAGCATATTTGGTTTAGTCAACAGACATCCACAGAAAACCAAAAATAATATCATCGTGCGAATCCTATCATTATAGGCTTAAGTCCCAATGATCCGATGCAAATAACTAAGTAGCAACATTTGTGCAATGATTCCCCCACCTTCTACCCCTGCCCCCCATTCTATGCTAGTCACAACTGTTGTTTCTTCTCTTTTTTCCCATCGCTTCCTTGTTTGATGCTGTAGCAAATGGATGACACAGTCTATACTTTTGAGACTCTTCTCCATCAGGAGCTGGGGAAGTCGCTGAGCAAAGATGAACTGTGCAAGACAATTCAGCGCATCCTGGAGCGGGTGCTCAAGGTAAGGTCACCACCCTGTGTCTTGGGTTGGGTTGGGTTGGGTTGGGTTGGGTTGGGTTGGATGGATGGATGGATGGATGGATGTTTGGGTGGGTGAATGGATGGATGGATGGATGGATGGATGGATGGATGGATGGATGATTGGATAGGTGGATGGATGGTTGGTTGGTTGGTTGGATGGGTGGATGGGTATGTGGGTGCGTGGGTGGATGGATGGATGGATGGATGGATGGATGGGTAGGTGGATGGTTGGTTGGATGAATGGATGGTTCGGTTGGTTGGTTGGATGAATGGATAGGTGGATGGATGTTTGGATGGATGGGTGGATGAATGGATAAGTGGATGGATGGATGGATAGGTGGATGGTTGTTTGGGTGGATGGGTGGGTGGATGGATGGATGGATGGGTAGGTGGATGGTTGGTTGGATGGATGGATGTTTGGATGGATGGGTGGATGAATGGGTAAGTGGATGGATGGATGGATAGGTGGATGGTTGTTTGGGTGGATGGGTGGGTGGATGGAAGGATGGATGGATAGGTGGATGGTTGTTTGGGTGGATGGGTGGGTGGATGGAAGGATGGATGGATAGGTGGATGGTTGTTTCGGTGGATGGGTGGGTGGATGGGTGGGTGGATGGATGGATGGGTAAGTGGGTGGGTGGGTGGATGATTGGTTGGTGGTTCCTGGAAGAAGTAGACCCCGAATGAAGCACCATCTTCATTTGGAAATCAGGTGCTGAGACCATAGCTAATTTTAATTTGGCTTAAAGGAGATTAAAATTAATTTCAGTTTATCGGCCTGGTATATAATAGCATGTCGCTTTACTCATATTTATAATGATTTATAATAATAGTTTGGCAGCAATTTCTGAAAGGTCACATCCAAAGCTTTTGTAGGACGAGGGATGTAGCTCAAGCATTATAACCTTATCTGCCTAATCTTTTTGTTTTTGAGTGCAAACAGGCAACGCCCTTCTCCTGACCATCTGTTGTATTGTTCCTCTTCCCATATGTCCTTCACCCTATTGTTATTTGTTTCTTGCTTTTTCATCCAAGTGCTTATGAAAGCTTGAAAAGCAGCACAACCCAAAGAGTTTTCTTTGGGACAAAAAAAACACGATGTGTTCATCCATGCCAACTTGAGAAAGGAGGGCAGCTCTTTCATTAGTGAAGCTTCCCATGATCTGCTTCACAACCATCATTTGTGATTGTTAAGGCTATTCTTGGCTCATAACCGATGTTGTGGGTTATTGAGCAGAGTACCCCTTGAGTATACGCATGAAAGCGACTGGGAATGGTTGTGAACAATCACAGTTAATATACAAACACGCTGAGTTGTGGTAGTCTTTTACTTTTAGGAAAAAGTAAAGCAAAGTCCAAAAACAATCCAAGTCATACACAGATAAGGCGAGAGTTAAAAGATCAATCCAGGAATATTTCAAGTACAAAGTCTTCTTACCAGTTGTAGTCATACACAATAAAACAGTTCTTCTTGAGTTTCAAATAGGAACAAGTTCAATATTAAAACATTCAATAAATAGTAGAAAGCAACATGTAGCAATGATCAAACAGTGATCATGCAGAGAGATCAGGCAGAGAGTAACAGCAAATAAGCGGTGTAGTGTCCACACAAGCCATGATTCAGGCTTCCCTTAAGTACATTGGCTACAGAGCTTAGCCAATCAGGATACAGGATGATGCAACACAGTCTTAAAGCAATATAATACCTTTTGACTGCAAACATACATTGTTGGTTTATATATTGCTTGACCAACTAGTTAGACAATAACCATTTCCTAACAGTGATTCTGATCTGTTTTGTCCTCAGAAATACGATTACGACAGCAGCACGGTGCGGAAGAAATTTTTTCGAGAAGCTCTGCTGCAGGTCACGGTCCCTTTCCTGCTGAAGAAGTTGGCTCCCACTTGCAAAGGGGTAAGGGTCTGTAGAGATTCTCGGTCATCCAGGTCATGGTTGTCCCAAAGATGCTTTTCTAGGAGGCAACTGGATTTTCTTGTTGTTGTTGTTTTTTTTGAAGACATTTTGCTTCTCATCCAAGAAGCTTCTTCAGCTCTGACAGGAATGAAATCCCTGCTTATATGCATCAGCACTTATATCAGGGCTAGAAGATAGTGGGGTGTATGGAGAGGGGGAGGAGGAGGAGGAGGATTGTGGGGTCCTTGGTGCTCTCTGAGCTTGGTTGTTCTCTTGCAGATGTTTCACGACCCAGCTAGGCAACATCATCAGTGCTAGAAGGGAGTAGGATTTGCTCTCTCCGTTTATATGCATCAGCTGTTGCATATTGTTGCAAACTGTTGATAGTGTTGCAAACTGTTGATGTTACCTAGAGGGGTAATGAAAACGTTTGCAAGAAAATAATAACCAAGCTCAGCGGTACTGGATATAAGCAGGGAACAAGTCACACCAACACTGATGATGATACTTAGTTGGGCAATGAAAGGTCTACAAGAAAACAATCCAGCCCAGAGGGCACCAAAGACTTCGGAGTTGAGCTCTGAGTTTACAAATGTTATCAATAGAAGGGAATAGATGTCCCTTATTTTAGCAGTGTCCAAATGCCCATTCCCCCAAATTATAGGTTCGGTAGGTGGTTTGTGTTTACCAGCAAGAAGATGCAGAAATCTAATATTCTCAGAGAGTCAAGGACATCCTGCCCTGCACCTGGAGGGCTGGAACTGGGAGGCATCTCCAGTTGGGATGGTGCTTGGATTGGAACATGTCATAGACATGTGGGTGCTGGGCAGGGAGTTGGACTTTCCTTTGGGTGGGGAAAACCTGGAAACTTTTGGATTCTGGTTTTCCCAGATGTGCCAATATGACAGCTCTAATAAAATGGAACTTTTGAGGAACTTCAAGCCTCGGAGTCTTCTTTCGTTGGGGGTGTTACTTAGAATCCTGACAAATGGATCAGGTACTACCTCTTGGGTAGGGTAGGGTAGGGTAGGGTAGGGTAGAATAGAATAGAATAGAATAGAATAGAATAGAATAGAATAGAATAGAATAGAATAGAATAGAATTCTTTATTGGCCAAATGTGATTGGACACACAAGGAATTTGTCTTTGGTGCATATGCTCTCAATGTACATAAAAGAAAAGATACGTTCATCAAGAATCATAAGGTACAACACTTAATGATAGTCATAGGGTACAAATAAGTAATCAAATCATACTAGGAAACAATCAATATAAATAGTAAGGATACAAGCAACAAAGTTACAGTCATGCAGTCATAAGTGGGAGGAGATGGGTGATGGGAACGATGAGAAGATTAATAGTAATGCAGCCTTAATAAATAATTTGACAGTGTTGAGGGAATTATTTGTTGAGCAGAGTGATGGCCTTTGGGAAAAAAACTGTCCTTGTGTCTAGTTGTTCTGGTGTGCAGTGCTCTATAGCGTCATTTTGAGGGTAGGAGTTGAAACAGTTTATGTCCAGGATGGGAGGGGTCTGTAGATATTTTCACAGCCCTCTTTTTGACTCGTGCGGTATACAGGTCCTCCATGGAAGGCAGGTTGGTAGCCATTGCTTTTTCTGCAGTATTTCTGCAGAAAGGAATGTTATTTTGACTACATATCTCCCCAGCTCCATACAATTCCCCCCTCCCAGTTTTCCTCAGCACTAAATGTGGCAGGCTTGACACCCTTATTATTTCAAAAGGCTCTTTAAAACTGGGGAAACCTGCTGGATTCCTATGGATGCTTAACCTTCCCATAAAATCTCCCTTCTGGCCTTCTTATTTCATTTGTCTTTTTTTAAAAAAAAAAAAGAGAGAAGAGATGCTTTTAATTAAAATAAAATTACACGGCAGTTCTGACCTGCTTTCAAACAAACGCCCAGTGCTGAACATTTATTTCATTTCCAACAAAGACTTTGTGGGCCCACGTTGGCTTCAGGGAAGAAGATGTTTTGAAGTCCCTGATCACACTTGCTTTGTTTCTCAATCGTTGTTGCTCCTTTGGGGCAACCGTTCTGTGAGGCCACCTGGATTTGCCATGGAGAGTAGATGGGCTGCTACGTAGAATAAATGAATCAGAATAGAGCTGGAAGGGACCTTGGAGGTCTTCTAGTCCAGCAGGAAATCCTATACCATTTCAGACAAATGGCTGTCCAGTCTCTTTCTTAAAATCACCTCCAGTGATGGAGCACCCACAACTTCTGGAGGCAACTTCCGTTCCACTGGTTAATTGTCCTCATTGTTAGGAAGTTTCTCCTTAATTCCAGGTTGCTTCTTGTCCTTGATTAGTTTCCATCCGTTGTTTCTTGTCCTGCCTTTTGGTGCTTTGGAAAATAAGTTGACCCCTTCTTCTTCTTTGTGGCAGCCCCTCAAATACTGGAAGACTGCTCTCATGTCACCCCTAGTCCTTTTTTTCTCTAGACTAGCCAAACCCAAATCCTGCAAACGTTCTTCACATTGTTTTAGTCTCCAGGCCTTTAATCATCTTAGTTGCTCTTCTTTGCACTTTTTCCAAAGTCTCAACAACTTTGTTGTAATGTGGCAACCAAAACTGGATGCCGTATTCCAGGTGTGGCCTTACTCTTCTTTCTAAGAGCAGATCCTACAGGTTGTATCATTGTGGGCCTTAGGTCCATGATAACTTCTCAACGGTGTGATTTTTTTTTCCCCTTCTCATTAGGACCTCTCAAGATTCCAGGAGCTGATTTTTGAAGATTTTGCCCGCTTCATCCTGGTGGAAAACACGTATGAAGAGGTGGTCCTGCAGTCTGTGATGAAAGATATCATGATGGGTAAGAGACTTTGGTTCGGTTTTGATTGAATAGGATTGTAGCTGATTGTAGCTGTAACTGGTGATAGGGAGAGATGCTGTTTGTACATCCTACTGTAGCAGGGGGCATCTTTGTAAACTGCCATCCAATCTGATACCTTTCAGAGATATTAAACTGAATTCCCATTATTCTAAACTAACTGGATAGATGGATGGATGGATGGATGGATGGATGATGAGTGAATGGATGGATGATGGGTGAATTGATGGATGGATGGGTGGTGGGTGGGTGGATGAATGGATGGATGGATGATGGGTGAATGGATGGATGGATGATGGATGGGTGGATGGATGGATGGATGGAGGATGGGTGGATGGATGGATGGATGGATGGATGAAGGGTGAATGGATGGATGGATGGGTGGTGAGTGGATGGGTCGGTGAATGGATGGATGGATGATGGGTGAATGGATGGGTGGATGATGGATGGATGGATGGATGGAGGATGGGTGGGTGGATGGATGGATGGATGGATGGATGAAGGGTGAATGGATGGATGATGGGTGGATGGATGGATGGATGGGTGAATGGGTGGATGGATGTGTCAGCCCTGGAAGCCATCTTTTCCTTTGGAGCTTCGGAGCTGCCACATTTAGTGCCTGGGAAAGCAGGAGGGGGGATTGCAAGGAGCAGTGGAAGTTTAGCCATAACAACATTCCTTTTTCTGGGAGTCAAGGACAACTGCCCTGCACCTGGATGGGAGTGGCTGGGAATTGTCTCCAGCTGGTGTGAAGATATGATTGGGTCATGTGATGGACTTGTGGGTGCAGGGGATGGACCTTTGACTTCCTTTTGGGTCAGGAAAACTCTCAGATTCGGGTTTTCCCAGATGTGCCAATATAATTTCCCTAATAAAATGGAACTTTGAGGAATTGCCTACCTCGGAGTGTCGTTTTGTTGGGGTTATTAGTTGGAACGCTGACAGGATGATGGGTCAGTGGATGGATGGATGGGTGAATGGGTGGTGGATGGGTGGATGATGGATGCATGAAATTCCCCTAACCAACATGGTTTGTTGGATGTAAAGGAACAATCCCATAGTCCTCTGGAACATTGGCTTGGAAAATATTGCCTTAAATATTATTTTGCTTAGGGTACAAAAGTTTCCATCTGCATTTGTCCCACTGTCAATTGCATTGATTAAAACATTCCAAGATTTAGACAATAGCACGTTCTTATATTATTCGCTGTTGTTGTTGTTCTTTTTTTTCAAAAAAAATGGAGAACTGGTTCTCTTACTTGACTTGGGAAAATTGACTGTCAACGTGCTCTTTTCCCCCCCCTTTTTTCTTTACGCCCTTATTTCAGCCGTCAAAGAGGCCGCCGTCCAGCGGAAGCACAATCTATACCGCGACAGCATTGTGATGCACAACAGCGACCCCAACCTACACCTGCTCGGCGAGGGGACGCCCATCAACTGGGGGGAGGAGTACGGCAGCGAATCAGACACAGACCCCCTGGACGAGAAGCAGCACCGTGCCAAACAGGTGGTCTCCGTAATCCACATGGATGAAAGTGCTCTGCCTTTTGACGAAGTGGGTTCTTTGGAAAGATCTCCAGATGGTTCAGAACCAGAGAAGTCCGAGCGCTGTCCTAGTCCTCAGACACAGGATTCCTCGGACAGTGTGAAGGAGGTCCGTACGTTGCTGGTGAAAGAGGTGGAAGTCCCAGCTCTGGATGGCAATAAGGCTGAGGAACAATTGAGCAATGGTACTATTACCCAAGAGAGAGGAGGAACCCCAGAGCCCAGGAAGGAGGAGGAGGAGGAGGAGAAGGAGAAGACAACTCAAGCAGAAGATGGCTGTCCTACGGAATCCTCCACAGAGGTCCATAGAGAGAAACGGGAAGCCCCAGAACCACCTCCAGTTGCCCTCACGCAAACCCCAGCTCCAGATGGAGTAGTCCAAGCAGAATGCCCGGAACCCAGCAATAAAGAGACAGGCGAGGAAGAGGTCTCTGCCCAAGCTGGCAAGGCAGAAGCAGAGATTCCCCTGGAGAACAGCCATAAGGTCACAGATGAAAGCGAAGGGGTGCAAACTCAGTTCTAGATCAGCCTCCCCCCCTTGGAAGAGGATTTCCTCACGGCCAGATAAAACACGGAAGGGGGAGACCAGAACTTGGGGACCCTGTGGGATGGGAAGGACACAAAGGCAAGTCTCGATCCAAGGCTGGTTATAGGAACATCTTCGACTTTAGGTTGCACTTGATTCTTCTGGAGAAGTTCTGCCTTTGGAGGAGGGGGAGGGAAGGAATTGCAAGGGAGGAACCCCAGAATGCACGTTCTACATCTCTTGGGGACCAGGGTGATTTTTCTAGTCTTGAACTGGAGCGTTTCCCACACACACACACACATCTAAACACGCTAGTCCCCCTGACTCAAAGTTGTATGGTTGGATTGGATGTTCTGGAGAAGGGACTTCAATTCATCTTAGATGCTAACAAATGCCTGGAGCGTTGAAAACGTAAGAGAGAAGCCATCAGGTTTCTCCATCTTGATCCAGACTGGTACTAATTTTGACTTTTAGACCCATACCTTGGTTTGATGGTCCCATCCCTTTGTCTTCTTCCAACCGTTGATGGTAGAAGGCTCTTTTCTCCTGTCGAGGGGTCGTCTCTTCACCTCCCGGTGTTCATGATTAGGAATGGTTATCTCTTTTAATTTGACCTCCTATTCTAGATGTTTTTAGCACTAGAATTGCTGTGGGAGTTGGTCCAATTGCGTCCTTACCCCTCGGCATCCATCTCGGTCCAAAAGTTACACAGAGATGGGACAGCCCTAGTTTCAGGAGAAAGTAAGTAGGAGCATGCAGATGTTTTAGAAACACGTGGATGTGGGCTAGAGAAAGGGGTGTGTATTTGTCGAAGGCTTGCTGATTTTGGAATGGAACGGCAAAAGTTGATGGATACGACGAGACTGCTATAGGAATTTAAATTATTTCAGTGGGGACTGCTGGCTGAGGACCTTATGTCTTAATTGGTCAGTCAAGGATGTTCCACGAGAACAAGGAACCAGTATATGTCATGCTTATGTAGGATTGTTAAGGAGTTCGTTATCTTGGCCTGTTCAGGCATCCTTAGTTCACCTGCACAGGTTGTCTGCTGAATGAATGTTTGGATCTCCCCTCTCTTCCCAGGGAAGCAAAGGAGCAGAATAACTTTAGAAGCAACCAGCAGAGATCCTATAAAGAGAGATCCTGTATGCATAAGTCTTCAGCCTAGTGGGAAGCCATCGAGGTTCCAATTTTGTTTTGTTTTTTTAAATGCACTTGGTGTGGTGGCAGTAACGATTTATCGGGGGTGGGGGGGACGGACACAAAAGGGAAGATGGTCTTTCTTTTCGCTTTGGCAGTTTCTGGCCGGTTACGTTTAGCAATTCAGTTATGTTCTTGCAGAGAAGGATTGGTTTCAATAGGAACTGTAAAAAAATTTAGGGGTCTTGGCTAAAGACATGGGCAAAAGTGAAATAACAGGTGGGAATCAGGAGCGTGGCCTTCTGAATCTCACCTGCCTTTATAAACCCGAGTACATTTCCCTCTCTCTCCTCCCTTCTGAATCTGTGAAGTGGATTGCAAGTTGGAAGCCACAGCTGAGCTTCCAACCTCTAGCACTGGATTTACAACATGCCCATTCCAATCCACGTTTATATACACCTACACGCACGTCCCTACCACTTATCCATCTCTTCATCCATCCCTGGAGGACTTCGGACAATATGGTTAGGCCTTGGTGTTTTTTAATACCTCCTTGAAGGTCCCATTTTATTCTCGTTTTTAACGTCAAGCTCTGCCTTAAGAGCAGCCCCAAAGTGATAGCGAATCTTGGTGACATCTGAATGGTTTCTGTTCTGGAGAAGGTGTTGGGTTAGTTCAAGTTGGATCTTCTCTACATCGCTGATAGGGAAGAGCGGCTTCTTCTGTCTTCTGGGAAGGCCGTTTCCTCTTCCAATTTAGGGATGAAGGATTCTTTCTTAAGCATCTCTGCGTTGACTGGATTGACTGATGAATGGGCCTACAAGAACCAATTTTCCCAGGACCTTCATCCCTCAAAATGGAAATAACATCTCTCCTTGTTGGGTTTTTCTCCCCATCCTCCATTTTCATGGATGGGAGAAGCAAAATATGGGTGCTTTTCCCTGAGTCAATTAGGATCTGCTGGCAGAAGATTGCTCTTTTGAAGGGGAAATTCCATAATCTCAAAATAATAATAATAATAATAATAATGATTGGAATTCAACTTCTAGGAAATTGTGGTGCCAATTAAGGAAAGGAGATGATCTTCAGCAGATCCAGAAATAGGAAGACTCCTTGGGTCAAACTGCCCGTGTTCCAAACACCTTACTCAACACTGCCCACCTCATCTCGATTTGCTGCTGTAACATTCCAGTTTCACTCTGCCTGTTTTTTTAAAAAAAATATTTGTAGTGATTCCTCTTTGAAATGGTTTCAGAGAGTGGAGAAGGAGAGGGGAAATTGTTCACTCGGATTCTACCATCTTTTAATGCCTTATGGTTGGGAACCAAAGCTTCTTTTCCTTCTCTCTCTCTCTCTCTCTCTCTCTCTCTCTCTCTCTCTCTCTCTCTCTCTCTCTACGAAGATAGTATATATTGCAAATCTTATACCAAATGTTTAAGAGAATGTGCTTATATATTAATAAAAAAATCAGCTTTATTTAATCCTAGTTCACCCCATCTCCTCTTTTATACGACACTAGCTGATAACCCGGCATTGCCCAGATATTTCTTTATCCCAATCCTGAAATTGCTCGAGGCGTTCCAGAGTTTTGCTGGCACACACACACACACACACACACACACACACACACTTCTAGGGGTATCTTACCCCCACAGTATTTGTTTCCAGATAGTAAGTCATCTGTGTACCAAGTTTGGTTGAAATTGCTCGGGGCCTTCCAGAGTTATGCTGGAACATACATACATACATACAGCCTTTATATATATATATATATATAAACTGCATTGCCTAATTTTGGGGCAGGCCTAGCTCCTCCTTCATTTTTCAAGAGGTGGGAGTTTTTGAACTTGAGGCGGAGAATGCTAGTCTGATTGTGTTAACCAATTTTATCAAGTTTGCCTGGTCTTGCCAGACAGGGTAATTAAACTGCACGGTGGGGGGGAGTTGTAGCATGATTAGACACACATACATGAAGACGTGATAAACCCACTAATTTAAAACTATTAACCAACTCAATGAAAAAGCATCAGTAGAGAATTAGTAAACACATTTATTGGACTTTTTAAAAAATACATTTCACAATCGCTTCATTTTTAACATAGTTTTAGTAGGTGCTAGAGATGTGCAAAATTTCATTCCAAGGGATTCTGCGTTTATCTTCCAGACTCTACGATTCAGGGGATGACCTAAACGTTTTTTCTGTATGTGATTTTTCATCCAAAATAATCATGGTCTAGAAGCAAAATGACATAGTCTGGAATTCCTTGGAATCTTTCATTCCCCAGAAAGGAATGTTCAACACTTTTACAATGGGTGCCGACAACTTAAAAACACACAGAATTTGTAAAGGCAAATGACCTCTCGTTTCCTTCGCAGCATTCTTTACAGGGAGAAGGTAACTGGTTTAAAACTATCCAAGTAAATTAAAAGTAAATTAAAATGGCAGATCTTTGTTCACCACGCTATTCAATTGTTCGTCTCTTAATACAGAATGATAGAGTTGGAAGGGACCTTAGAGGTCTCCTAGTCCAACCCCCTGCTCAAACAGAAGAAGCTACATTATTCCAGACAGATGGTCACAACGGCACCGGAAAAAGGGACTTACGGCCGTTTTTCACGCTTAACAGCCTCCTCGTAACGGTGTGATCAAAATTCAGACGCTTGGCAACCGGTTTGTATTTAGGACCGTTGCTGTGATCCCATTTTGCGACCTTCTGACCAGCCAAGTCAACGGGAAAACCCAGATTCACCGGGTTACTGACTGATTAATGGCAGGGATTCACTTAACCACGGTGGCAAGAGAAGTCGCAAAATGGGGGCGGGGGGCAAAACTCAACGAACGTCACACTTAGCCACGGAAATTTTGAGCTCCATTGTGGTCGTACGTCGAGGACTTTCCTGTACTTAAAAAAAAACACATCTATACAGCGATCGTGATGGTTCTTTCTGGGCCCTGAATTCCTAGATTAGTGACCCAGTCTGTGAAATAAAGATTCTTTGATGAATTATCTTAATTGCCCATTGCGTTGACAGGATGTTGGCTTCATGAAAACATCTGGGAGAACGGGAGTTAAAAAAGCAGAATAAGCATTGAGAATAGAAACAGACCAGATTTGTTAAAGTGCTTCAGATCGTGGTGTTGACGAAGGAATTTTTCCAACTATGCTTTGAAAGCTTATTGTACTCTTTAAGTAGATAATAGGATATATATCCCAATTACTCTCTTTAAGGTTTTGGGGCAACATTTTCCCCTTCCTCCCCACTTTCTACATTTCTGCTGGCGGCTTTATTTTCCAAGCAAATCAAAATTAAGTGGGTGAGATTTAAGAGTGACCAAAGATAAATTGATCAGAGCTACCCAGGGGTGAAATCCAATTTTTTTTCACTACCGGTTCTGTGGGCGTGGTGTGGCGTGGTGGGCGTGGCAGGGGAAGGATATTGCAAAATCTCCATTCCCTCCCCACTCGGAGGTCAGCCACAGGTGGTATTTGCCGGTTCTCCGAACTGCTCAAAATTTCCACTACCAGTTCTCCAGAACCTGCTGGATTTCACCCCTGGAGCTATCCCATCCCAAACACATTCTGTAGGGTTTGAAGGCAATCTTTAAGGACAACCATATTGTGCCCTTTACCTCTAGATGGGGGTAGAGGGACACTCTCCTTGAAGTTAACTTTCTGGACGTGAGAAAAGTCCGTATTAAGGCACTTAGGAAAAAAATTATTTGGAATTGGAAGCACAATGGCTATTTTAGAGTATTAGAAGTGTCGGCCAAGACGAGAGATCAAATGAAGCCCGGCGAGAACCTCAGATCTCTTCTGGAGAGGACTTGTCCCAGTAGAATCCATTCCAGTTGCAAAATCGGCCTGATTTTCAGTTTTGAGCTGTCTCTACGAGAAGCTACCACGCTGCTATCTGAGGCATAGTAGCGGATACGCCAGGAAGTATCCGATGGCCGAACCCACAATCACTCCCAGGAAAATCCATGTGTTGTAAGTCATGACGGCCAGCATCACCAGGTAACCCAAAAACACCTGGACCACGTGGAGGAAGGTCTCCGCTAGGTGCCACGAAAGACGCCTAGTGAAAAGAAAAGAAGGAAAAAAGATCTTTTCAGAAGGCAAATAAATTGATTGAAAAGAAGTTCAACCCTCTAGCTTCCCTCTGTTCTAACTTTCATTCTTCCCAAATGCAAACTGAAGAGTGTTTAACTTAATGAGGTTCCTTGTTTAGAGTTTCTACCAACTAGGTCTTTTAGTAAATCGAATATAAAATAATAGGGTTGGAAGAGATTTTTGAGGTCTTCAAGTCCAACCCCCTGCTCAAGTAGGAGAACCTATACTATTCTGGACAAATGGTTGTCCAATCTCATCTTGAAAACCTCCAATGATGAAGCACTCACAACCTCTGGAGGTTCCACTGGTTAATTGTTCTCACTGTCGGGAAATTTCTCCTTAATTCTATGTTGGATCTTTCTTTAAAAACTTTCCACCCATTGCTTCTTGCCCTTCTCTCAAGGTGCTTTAGAGAATAGGTCGACCCCCTCCTCTCTGTGACAGCCCCGCGAACAATGGAAGACTGCTATCATATCACCCCTTGTCCTTCTCTTCCGTGGTGGCACAGTGGTTGGAGCGCAGCATTGCAGGCTAATTCTGCTGACTGCCAGGAGTTCGATCCTGACTGTCTCAAGGTTGACGCGGCCTTCCATCCTTCCGAGGTGGGTAAAATGAGGACTCAGATCGTTGGGGCAAGAGGCTGACTCTGTAAACTGCTTAGAGAGGGCTGTAAAGCACTGTGAAATGGTATATAAGTCTAAGTGCTATTCCTTCCTTCCTTCCTTCCTTCCTTCCTTCCTTCCTTCCTTCCTTCCTTCCTTCCTTTCCTTCCTTCCTTCCTTCCTTCCTTCCTTCCTTCCTTCCCTCCCTCCCTCCCTCCCTCCCTCCCTCCCATGTAGTACAATGGTTAGAATGCAGTATTGCAGGCTGAATCTGCCGACTGCCAGCAGTTCAATCCCGACTGACTCAAGGTTGACTCGGCCTTCCATCCTTCCGAGGTGAGTAAAATGAGGACCCAGATTGTTGGGGGGCAACAGGCTGACTCTGTAAACTGCTTAGAGAGGATATGTAAAGCACTGTGAAGCGGTATATAAGTCTAAGTGCTACGGCTGTTGCTATTCCTCCTAGCTGTAGTCTTATCATCTGCACCAACCGTTACTGTAAACTTGGTTGCCTCTTTGGAAACCCTTAAAGCCACTGTCCTTGCCCACGGGTGATTCTTTTCGGGCTACAGAAGCAGTCACGCTCCAGAAAACGTTGCACCGTCTATGGCTGTCTCTCCCTTCTGCTCATCCGCCCGTTCTGGTTACGAGTGTTAATCACGAGAGCTACTCTCTCCTCACCACCCACCCTACTTCAGTGGCATGGTACGGTTCATGAGAGATGCTTTCACGGGCTCTTGGTTTTTGGTCAACAACATGCCAGGCGAGCCATCTCAGCCAGGCTGATGGTTACATCAACCCCCTAATCTTTTCCTTGGCAGCATTGGCTCCGTTAATACAAAGGTGCTTTGACAACCAACAGCTCGAAAGACGGAAGATGCTGAAACACTGTTTGGCGTGGCTGTGGTCCAGCTTGTACATCCCCTCCCACCCCCCGGACAAAACTTGGAACACAGGAGTTGGAAGCTACTGTAGATGCCTCACCTAGGAAATAATGGGACTTCAACAGGCAGGGCTGTGAAGGACCATTGTTTCCAAAAGATTTTTTTTTTCTAAATAGAGTACCATTAAAGGAGAATAATTCTAGCTCATGAGCTTGAAATGAGGGGTCCTTGGGGCTCTTTGAGCTTGGTGGTTTTCTTGCAGACGTTTTGTTACCAAACTAGGTAACCTCATCAGGGCTAGAAGAGAGAGGGGTTTGCTCTTATTTCTCCTATTAAGCCCACTCCCTTCTAGCGCTGAGGAAGTTGCCCACTTTGTTAATGAAACGTCTGCAAGAAAACCATCAAGCTCAGAGAGCACCAAGGAACCCCTCTTCCTCCTCCTCCTCCCCTCCTCCTCCTCCTCCTCCTCCTCCTCCTCCTCCTCCTCCTCCTCCTCTCAGCAAACCCATTCTTTTCTAGCACTGATGAAGTTCCGTAATTGGGTAATGAAACATCTGCAATAAAACTGCCAAGTTCAGAGAGCAGTAAGGACCCCACAGTTCTCCTCCTCCTCCTCTTCTTCTTCCTCCTCCTCCCTCCCTCCCTCCCCCAGCAAATCCCACTTCCTTCTAGCAGTGATGAAGTTCCGTAGTTGGGTAATGAAACATCTGCAATAAAACTACCAAGTTCAGAGAGCACTAAGGACCCCACAGTTCTCCTCCTCCTCCTCCTCCTCCTCCTCCTCCTCCTCCTCCTCCTCCTCCTCCTCTTCTTCCTCCTCTTCCTCCTCCCTCCCTCCCTCCCTCCCTCCCTCCCTCCTTCCCCAGCAAATCCCACTCCCTTCTAGCACTGATGAAGTTCCGTAGTTGGGTCATGAAACCACCAAGTTCAGAGAGCACTAAGGACCCCACAGTTCTCCTCTTCCTCTTCCTCTTCCTCCTCCTCCTCCTCCTCCTCCTCCTCCTCCTCCTCCTCCTCCTCCTCCTCCTTCTCCCAGCAAACCCCATTCCCTTCTAGCACTGATGAAGTTCCATAGTTGGGTCATGAAACATCTGCAATAAAACTACCAAATTCAGAGAGCACTAAGGACCCCACAGTTCCCCTCCTCCTCCTCCTCCTCCTCCTCCTCCTCTTCCTCCTCCCTCCCCCAGCAAATCCCACTCCCTTCTAGCACTGATGACGTTGCCCAAGGCCCTCTCTAAATAAGAGTCTCAGCAAGTGGCCTTTTAAAAAACAATACAAGCAGAGGGCTTGCTTAATGCACGAGAGATTTTTGGGAAATCTGAGACCTAAACATGAAAGTTGAAAAAGCAACCTGGCAGGAGAGAACAGGAAATATTTCCTTGCTCTCGTTAAAACTAAAGTCAACCTGTATCGACATGTCCGTATATAATCGGGAATCAAACTTCAGTTGAATAAGATTCCACACGTTTTATATGATTCTTATCTGAATAGCTTTTTTTTTCTTCTTCTTTCAAACGAAGGAATTTTTGACTCAGCCACACACCCACAGCTGGAGAATGTTTAACTATTCCTCTTCGGGGGGGGGGAGTACAATAAAAACCGGGCAGCTTTGCTGAAAAAGTTTTAATTTTTTTGAGAACGTGAATGCTATAAAATAGGAAGCTGTGTTTTGCGGGATTGAGAGTTAGCATAAACGGTGCACAGCTCTCGGTGGCCTTAAAACAAAGGGGCCCTTTGTGAAACGGGCATTGCCGTTTCAAAAATTATGCGCCAGCTGTCACTGGAAAGGGAAAGGGGCAGGGTGAAATCCAGCAGGTTCTGGCGAACCGGTAGCGGAAATTTTGAGTAGTTCGGAGAACCAGCAAATACCACCTCTGGCTGGCCCCAGAGTGGAGTGGGAATGGAGATTTTGCAATATCCTTCCACCTGGTGTGGGGAGGGAATGGGGATTTTGCAGTATTCTTCCCCTGGAGGGGCTGGGAATGGGGATTTTGCAATATCCTTCCACCTGGAGTGGGGAGGGAATGGGGATTTTGCAATATCCTTCCCCCAGGAGTGGGGAGGGAATGGGGATTTTGTAGTATTCTTCCCCCTGGAGGGGCTGGGAATGGGGATTTTGCAATATCCTTCCCCCAGGAGTGGGGAGGGAATGGGGATTTTGCGATATCCTTCTCCCTGGAGTGGGGAGGGAATGGGGATTTTGCGATATCCTTCTCCCTGGAGTGGGGAGGGAATGGGGATTTTGCAATATCCTTCCCCCAGGAGTGGGGAGGGAATGGGGATTTTGCGATATCCTTCTCCCTGGAGTGGGGAGGGAATGGGGATTTTGCCGTATCCTTTCCCCTGGAGGGGGTGGGAATGGGGATTTTGCAATATCCTTCCCCCAGGAGTGGGGAGAGAATGGGGATTTTGCAATATCCTTCTCCCTGGAGTGGGGAGGGAATGGGGATTTTGCAGTATCCTTCCCCTGACACACCTGACATACCTGCCAAACCACGCACACCAAGCCACGCCCTCAAAACCGGTAGTTAAAAAAATTGGATTTCACCACTGGGGAGGGGGTTTATAACACACAACACATGCACACACAGTTTTTTCCTTACTTCTTTAGGGAACTGGTGGTTGACCCCACTTCCGAGTTCAGGGAGATCCCTTCTCTGAGGTTTTCCTGACTGATGCTAGGGGCCACGGCCAAATGTGAGTGTCGGATCAGTTTTGCCTTGCCAACTTTGATGCCTTCGTATAACACGGTGAGTAGCATGATGATGAACACAGAGAGTACCATCCCTGTTAAAACAAAGCAGAAACAAGAGTTAGGGGCCAGTAAAGGAGAACAGAATACAGAATAACAAAGAGTTGCAAGGGACCTTGGAGGTCTTCTAGTCCAGCCTCCCTGCTCCGGCAGGAGAACCTATGTCATTTCAGACAGATGTTCTCCAAACTCTTCTTAGAAACCTCCAGCGTTGGAGCATTCACATTCCCCTGCCATGCCCACCAAGCCACGCCCACAGAACCGGTAGTAAAAAGATTTGGATTTCACCACTGCTTCAGAGGATAATTAGAATTGCAGAAAAAAAGCTATTACTACCAACCTGCCTTCCGCTGAGGACCTGTATCCTGCACGAGTCAAAAAGAGGCTGGGAAAATATCTACAGACCCCTCGCATCCTGGACATAAATTGTCTGAACCTCCTACGTTCAAAATGACGCTATAGAGCACTGCACACCAGAACAACTAGACACAAGGACAGTTTTTTCCCAAACGCCATCACTCTGCTAAATAAATAATTCCCTCAACACTGTCAAACTATTCACTAAGTATGCATTACTATTACTATTAATCTTCTCATCGTTCCTATCACCCGTCTCCTCCCGCTTATGACTGTAATGACTGTAACCTTGTTGCTTGTATCCTTACGACTTATATTGACTGTTTCCTAGTATGATTTGATTGCTTATTTGTACCCTATGACTATCATTAAGTGTTGTGCCTTATGATTCTTGATGAACATAGAGTATCTTGTCTTCTTATGTACACTGAGAGCATATGCACCACAAATTTTGTGTGTGTCCAATCACACTTGGCCAATAAAGAATTCTATTCTATTCTATTCTATTCTATTCTATTCTATTCTATTCTATTCTATTCTATTCTATTCTATTCTATTCTACTCTACTCTACTCTAATTCTAATTCTATTCTAATTCTAATTCTATTCTATTCTCTTTCTATTATTTCTATTCCATTCCATTCCATATTCCATCTTTTCTGTTTGAAATGCTAAATTATAATTGCTTCTTGGTTCATTCATATTTTGTCTTCTTATGCACACTGAGTGCTTATGCTCCAAAGACAAATTTCTTATGTGTCCAATCACACTTGGCCAATAAAGAATTCTATTCTATTCTATTCTATTCTATTCTATTCTATTCTATTCTATTCTATTCTATTCTATTCTATTCTATTCTATTCTATTCTACTCTACTCTAATTCTAATTCTAATTCTAATTCTATTCTATTCTCTTTCTATTATTCTATTCCATTCCATTCCATATTCCATCTTTTCTGTTTGAAATGCTAAATTATAATTGCTTCTTGGTTCATTCATATTTTGTCTTCTTATGCACACTGAGTGCTTATGCTCCAAAGACAAATTTCTTATGTGTCCAATCACACTTGGCCAATAAAGAATTCTATTCTATTCTATTCTATTCTATTCTATTCTATTCTATTCTATTCTATTCTATTCTATTCTACTCTATTCTAATTCTAATTCTAATTCTAATTCTAATTCTATTCTCTTTCTATTATTTCTATTCCATTCCATTCCAAATTCCATCTTTTCTGTTTGAAATGCTAAATTATAATTGCTTCTTGGTTCATTCATATCTTGTCTTCTTATGCACACTGAGTGCTTATGCTCCAAAGACAAATTTCTTGTGTGTCCAATCACACTCGGCCAAGAAAGAATTCTAATCTAATCTAAACTACCGGAAGTTATAATTCTGGAAAATCTAGTGAGTTGATGCTTTGCACTTTGGCTGGCCCATCTGTGTGCAGCAAAGACGGGGGTGTGAAAATCAGCCACCTCCAACTTTTGTTCGCTCGGGAGCCAAGGGTGCAATTAAGTCGGGGAATTGGGTTTCTTTTCAGGGGGTTGGACAACTTGTCTTAGCTCCCTGGATTTGCTCCTTGCTTCTCTCCTGGGGGAGAAGAAAACAAAACAAAAGTGCTTTTCACACAGTGCTGAAAAGTGCTGCCTTGCCAGGCCAGAGTTGAGTAATAAAATCGTTCACTTGTCTCTGTTTATCTGGATGCCTTCATCAAAAGCCAGCGGTTACTCCTTGTTCCTTGATCAACCAGCCTCACCAGATCAGGTCTTGCCAAAGTCAACACGAAGGGAAAGATCAAGGACAGGAAATGTCAGGATTTACCGACACTTGCCTTCTTTTATTTTGGAAGCAATCTGATTCGGCTGCCAGGCAGTGGTGAAATTCAATATATTTTTTTACTACCGGTTCTGTGGGAGTGGCTTGGTGGGCATGGCAGGGGAAGGATACTGCAAAATCCCCATTCCCTCCCCACTCCTGGGGGAAGGATACTGTAAAATCCCCATTCCCTCCCCACTCCTGGGGGAAGGATACTGCAAAATCCCCATTCCCACCCTGCTCCAGGGGGAAGGATACTGCAAAATCTCCATTCCCTCCCCACTCCAGGGGAAGGATACTGCAAAATCTCCATTCCCACCCCACTCCAGGGGGAAGGATATTGCAAAATCTCCATTCCCACCCTATCTAGGAGGAAGGATACTGCAAAATCCCCATTCCCTCCCCACTCCAGGGGAATGATATTGCAAAATCCCCATTCCCTCCCCCCCTCAGGGGAAGGATATTGCAAAATCCCCATTCTACGCCACTCCTGGGGGAAGGATATTTCAAAATCCCCATTCCCTCCCCCCTCTTGGGGGAAGGATACTGCAAAATCCCCATTCCCTCCCCACTCCTGGGGGAAGGATACTGCAAAATCTCCATTCCCACCCCACTCTGGGCCCAGCCAGAGGTGGTATTTGCCGGTTCTCCAAACTACTCATAATTTCCGCTACCGGTTCTCCAGAACCTGTCAGAACCTGCTGGATTTCACCCCTGCTCTAAAGTCCGTGTCTGTCTTGTTGGGTTGCAGAACCAAACCAGACAGTTATGGAGCTGCAGATGACAGACTCAATAGTTCCTCTGTAGAACTGGATCAGCAGCTCTTTGGGCAGTTTGAGAGGGTCCAAAGAGCCGCATCCAGCTCTGGAGCTACGGGTTGCTGACACCCAGCCTAGCTGGTCGTAACAGAATAACAGAGTTGGAAGGGACCTTGGAGATCTTCTAGTCCAACCCCCTAATCAAGCAGGAGACCGTATACCAATTCAGACAAATGGCTGTCCAGTCTCTTTTTAAAAAGTCACCAGTGTTGGAGCACCCAAGTTGTTCGATTGTTCGAACTGTCAGGAAATTCCTCCTTAGTTCTAGGTTGCTTCTCTCCTTGATTAGTTTCCATCCGTTGCTTCTGATGCTTTGGAGAATAGGTTGAACCCCTCTTCTTTGGGGCAGCCCCTCAAATGTTGAAACACTGTTATCAAGTCAACCCTGACTAGACGAAACATAGCCAATTCTTGCATGTCCTCGTTTATGTCATGATTTCTGGTTTGCTGTTGCAAAAAAAAAAACCCAGCTAATTCTGGTTTATTGGATAATCTACCTATAATTGCGAAAGTTAGACCTTTAAAAAAAAAAAAGCAAAACCAGAAGAAAATCAGTTCGCTTGAAAGCTGTGGTGCTGGAGAAGGTTCCTGCGTATTCTTTGGAGAGCAAAAGTCCTGGAGCACATGACGTGCGGCTGAAAGGCAAAAATCACAAAACTGCCTCTCGTCTACTTCAGATGCATCGTGCGAGGGAGTTCGCTGGAGAAAGCAATTATGGTTGGAAGAATTTAGTGGTGAAAGGAAACCAGGCCGACGAAGAATATGGCGGCTGGACACCATCAAAGCCGACACCAGCCAGAGCGCCGAACAACTCAAAGAAGCTGTGCAAGATCAGAAGAGGTGGAGAGAAACTTGGCCCACAGAATCACCAAGGGTTGGACACGCCTGAATGGATAACACCCACCCATCATACTTTAAACAAATCCTTGCAAATATAGAAATAGCTGTTCTTCTCTGTTATCTTTTGCGACACTTAAAAGAACTCTTAGCCAAGGGCGGGGTTGCTGGGGGTTCGCAGGGGTTCGGCAGAACCTCTAGCTAAGATTCTGGGGAGGCCATTTTGTCCTTTCCTCGAGGAAAGCCTCTGGAGTCTGGGGAGGACAAAAATGCCTCCCCCCTCTGTGTTGCAGGAGGCCAACTAGGCCATGCCCACCATGGCCACACCCACCCAACCCTTCCTGACCCTCCCAGGAGTCCCCAAACGGCCCATTTTGGATGCAGGTAAGTGCAGGGCATGTGCAGAGGCTCAGGGAGGGCAAAAAACAGGCCTACTGGAAGTTTGGGAAGGCCAGAAACGGGCCTGTTTCTGGCCTACAGAGGGCCTCCAGAGCCTGGGGAGGCTGTTTTCGCCCACCCAGAGGCTCAAGAAAAGCCTCTGGAGCCCGGGGAGGGCAAAAACAATCCCTCTCCTGGTGCAGGAGGCCAACTAGGCCACGCCCACCCAGCAACTGGGCGGAGAATCCCTTGCTAAAATTTTTGAAGCCCACCCCTGCTCTTAGCATTCCACCAAGAACAGTTGAATTGCGCCTAAAGCAGTTGCTATGGATCTTGCAGCTAGAGTGGCTCTTTCAAGTTCACTTTTTGGTTCTGGGAAAAACACTCTCCAATCAAGTGTTTGAAGGAAATCTGAGCTGCCATGTCAAGAGGGCAACTTGCTCCTAACAGCCCTCCCCATTGCTAAAGTTCAGATTTCATATAATCTCTCCAGTTTTGGATGATCGTTCTATGGTTGGGCAGCTTCTGTTTTCCTTAGATAGGTTCGTTTGCTTACCTCCTGCACTGTGGACATCCCAGAAGTCAAACAGGAGAATCACTTGGTCTGAGAAAAAGAAATGCATCTGTAGGAGATTTGGGGAAGGGGAAGGCAAAAGAAAACCAACACAATTAAAACATAAGTATGCCTCTTATGGCTAGACATTTGATTGCAATGGACGGTGCCATTAGATGTGGATTGTCTATTCTATTCTATTCTATTCTATTCTATTCTATTCTATTCTATTCTATTCTATTCTATTCTATTCTATTCTATTCCATTCCATTCCATTCCATTCCATTCCATTCCACTTCGTATTGTATTGTATTGTATTGTATTGTATTGTATTGTATTGTATTGTATTGTATTGTATTGTATTGTATTGTATTGTATTCTATTCTATTCTATTCTATTCTATTCTATTCTATTCTATTCTATTCTATTCTATTCTATTCCATTCCATTCCATTCCATTCCATTCCATTCCATTCCATAATTCTATTCTATTCGGTTCGGTTCGGTTCGGTTTCTGTTCTAAATAATTAAGAAAAGATGCGTGTTTTTTTCAGAAATTAATACTCGATGAAACCAGGTGGAAGGGAACAATTAGTAGGCAATTGGAGGCAGTTCACATATAATCTCTTGCCATGCCTGTTAGTATGAAACAATAGGCCAATTCTGTATATGGTCATTTTTGACCATGTGAGCTATTTCTCTTTACGGGTAACCCATGATTATCCGTCATCTTACTCCACCTAATTGATGCCTCTTGCTTTTCCTTCCCATCAGAGTTGTAAAGACACCTAGTCTTTCTGCAAAGCATTAGCCTCCAGGAATTTCGGCTTCTCAATTGCACCCTTGTGCCTGGAACCAAATTCCTCCCTCTGTCAGAAAGGCTATCCAAACCGCCCTAATTACAACACATAGTAAGAAAATAAACCAACCACTAGGGACAAATGTGGAACTATAAACTTTAAGCGTTGGCAATATTGGCTTCTCATCCAAAAGGTTTCCCACAACAATTGTTCCTGCTTTTCCTTTCCATTCCCCAAATCTCCGTGTTTGCAGGTTGATCCCTTTCGAAGAGGAACTCACAACAGCTCAATCCTGGAAGTCCTCGACTTACGACTTTCATTGAGCCCGGAATTTTTCTGCTGCTACGTGAGACAGTTTTGCCCCGTTTTACAGCCAGAGTGGTTAAGTCAATCACCTGCAGTTCAGCTAGTAACGCAGGTCGTTCAGTGAATCTGGCATCTCCGGTGACAACGGGGAAAAAGGGGACTTATGACTGGTTTTCAGACTTACGAAGCCCCACAGTCACAAGTGAACATAATTCAGACGCTTGGCAACTGATTCATATATCAGGGTTCCAAGCAACACCCCCAACAAAAGAAGACTCCGAGGCTCGAAGTTCCTCAAAGTTCCATTTTATTAGATTGGCACATCTGGGAAAACCCGAACCTGAAAGCTTCCAGGTTTTCCCCACCCAAAGGAAAGTCCAGGTCCCTGCCCAACACCCACATGTCCATCACGTGGTCCAATCCAAACATTGTCCCAACTGGAGATGCCTCCCAGTTCCAGCCTCCCAGGTGCAGGGCAAGATGTCCTTGACTCTCTGAGAAAGGAATGTTATTTTGACTACATATCTCCCCAGCTCCATACGATCCCCCCTCCCAGTTTCCCACAGCACTAAATATGGCAGGCCTGAAGGCCCAATGCAAAAGATGGCTTCCAGGCCTGACTTCATATTTATGACGGTCGCAGCATCCCTGTGGGGGGGGAGTGTTCACATGATCTCTTTGGCAACCTTCCGACAAGCAAACGTCAACGGGGAAGCCCAATTTCCTTTACGACGTGACTAAAGGGATTCACTTTACTTCACTTTAATTGTGGCAAGGAAGAGCCGTAAAACAGGGCCTTCAACTCCTTTCAGAAATGTCTCGCTTAGCAACGGAAAGGTTGGGCTCGATTGTGGTCATAAGGCGAGGACCATCTCTCCATGGTCCGGTTTGTTCTCGGCTGGCGCTCTTCCGTGCCTCGATCCGAGAAAACACTTGGAAGCCGTTGTCTCCCAACCCTGGCATTTGTGCTTCTTGTTACCTGGAGTTCGCCGAGGTTTGGCAAGGTGTGTAGGCGAGACTGGATTTGCCTAGGTGTGGTAAGAGTGAGCACAAGTGGGGCAGGAAAAAAAAATATACCCACGTCAGCCAATAACAACAGCAGACGGTTTCCCAATCTGCAAGGGAGATTTCTGGATGGAAGTGGTGACTCTTGAATCAGATGGCTCTTTATGTAACCACTCCTGTAGGAGGAAGTTTAAGAAAACTTATGCAAATCCCGAAGCTAGAAGGGAGGTAACCGACGCATACACACAATCACGCCTGGATACACTGCGTCTTTCAGGGGTCCTTGGTGTTCTCTGAGTAGGAGTTGTTTCCTTGCAGACGTTTCATGACCCAACTAGGTAGCATTATCAGTGTTCTCATCATCCAATCAAAGAACCACCTAAACCGCCCCCACCAGCTCTGACAGGGCAAAACACTAGAATATAAATCGAGAGCAAACCCCACTCCCTACTAACACTGATGATGTTACTTAGTTGGGTCATGAAACGTCTGCATGAAAACAACCCAGCTAGGAGAGCACCAAGGACCCCACAATCCTCCTCCTCCTCTCCACAAACCCTACTCCCTACTAGCATTGATGATGTACCCTAGTTGGGCCATGAAACGTCTGCAAGGAAATCAACAAACTCAGAGAGCACCAAGGACCCCACAGTCGTGGCTCCTCCTCCTCCCTCTCCACAAACCCTACTAGCACTGATGATGTTACTTAGCTGGGTCATGAAACGTCTGCACGCAAACAACCCAGCTCAGAGACAGCACCAGGGACCCCTCATTTCAACCCTGAGCTGCAAACATTCTCCTTTATAGACTGCGTTTTCATGTGCTGCAAATTTATCCAAGCAGTTCTGGAGAAGCAAAATATAGACTGAGGGTTTTGTTTTTTTTTAATTTGATTTATATGCCGCCCTTCTCCGGAGACTCAGGGTGGCTTACAATGCGCTAAGCAATAGCCTTCATTCTTTTGTATATTTATACAAAGTCAGCTCATTGCCCCCACAAACTGGGTCCTCATTTCACCTACCTTTGAAAGGATGGAAGGCTGAGTCAACCTTGAGCCTTGGCGGGATTCGAACCTGCAGTAAATGCAGGCAGCTGGTCTTAATAACCAGCTTAATAACAGGGTGCCTTAGACCACTGTACTACCAAGGCTCTTATTTTGAACCCAGTTGCTTAAACAGATATTTCTGGCAAGTTCACTCACCTGCCACTTTTGCGGCCCGAATGGAAACCCCTGTCCTGTTCACTTTTACACCATTTTTCCCCCCAGACCAGTAGTGAAATCTAAAATTTGTTACTACCGGTTCTGTGGGCGTGGCTTGGTGTGTGTGGAGGTTAATGTGACTGGGTGGGTGTGGCCAATTTTTTCTTTTTTTTTACTTTTAAAACCATTTTTTTCTACAACCTCTTCAGCAAAGAGGTTGGAAAAAATGCTTTTAAAAGCCTCTGACGATCCCAGCTGAGTTGCCTGATCGTCAGAGCCTTTTTTTTCTTTTAAAAGCCTCTGCCGATCAGGCAACTCAGATGGGATCGTCAGAGGCTTTTAAAAGAAAAAAAGGCCTCTGCCGATCAGGCAACTCAGCTTGGATCATCAGAGGCTTTTAAAGCCTCTGCTGATCAGGCAAATCAGCTTGGATTGTCAGAGGCTTTTAAAAGAAAAAAAAGCCTCTGCCGATCAGGCAACTCAGCTTGGATCATCAGAGGCTTTTAAAAGCCTCTGCTGATCAGGCAACTCAGCTTAGATTGTCAGAGGCTTTTAAAAGAAAAAAAGGCCTCTGCCGATCAGGCAACTCAGCTTGGATCATCAGAGGCTTTTAAAGCCTCTGCTGATCAGGCAACTCAGCTTAGATTGTCAGAGGCTTTTAAAAGAAAAAAAGCCTCTGCCGATCAGGCAACTCAGCTGGGATCGTCAGAGGCTTTTAAAAGCATTTTTTAAAATGCTTTTAAAAGCCTTTGACGATCCCAGCTGAGCCGCGCGATCATCAGAGGCTTTTTTTGTTACTTTTCAAAGCATTTTTTCGGCTGAAGAGATTGTAGAAAAAAATGCTTTTAAAATTTTTTAAAAAAGCCTCTGATGATTGCGTGGCTCAGTTGGGCATGGGGGGGAGGGGCAGGGATTTTTGCTACCGGTTCTCCGAACCACCCGCTCCATCGCTACCGGATCAAGTGATCTGGTCCGAACCGGGAGCATTTTACCCCTGCCCCAGACTGACTAACACAACTGCGTTTGTGGCAGGAAGTTCCTTGCCGAACAACCTCAGAAAGTTTCTGCCCAACAAGCTGTTGTTTGCGGTAGTGTGAGTCCTCGGTTTCCCCCCTTCTGTTGTTGAGCAAGGGAAGAGGGACACGGTGTGTAATTCGCCTTCAGAAGTTTTTGCAATCCTGCTCGAGAACCAAAGACGTGGGACTCCGGCTCACAGAGAACCAGTATGGGTTGACATTATAGGAGGACAGCTGTTTTGACCATGATTCAAAGCTTCAGGAACCTGATAGCCGGTTTCTCCAACGGACACATTCTATTAAGGCGATCGGCTTTCACCAGGACCAAACCCATAAACTCTCCCCATTTTTTAAAAATATGTTTTATTTGTAGTTTTCCTTTAACAGCCTTTCACATATTTTGTGGACAGTGTATTGACTGGGTCACTATACTTTTTAAACAACGCTAACAGCAATAATACAATTCAATATACATAATCCTAATCTTCCAACTTCTCACCTTAACATGCACCTTATAATTATAATAAATTCTTTTATAATCCAGCGTGTATAATACTATTTTTCCCAATTTGTACTCAACTTTCTTCCCCACCCACCCAACCCCCACAATTTGTTAGGGTTCTTCTACATTCACATCTTTGTCTTTAAACAATACCATTCTCTCTTTATGGTTCTTTGTCACTTTCTTCAGAAATATATTTAGACACCGATAACAATATCCTGCCTAAGCAGGGGGTTGGACTAGAAGATCTTCAAAGTCCCTTCCAACTCTGTTATTCTGTTCTGTTCTGTTCTGTTCCGTTCCATTGCGTTCTGTTCCAGTCTAGTCTAGTCTAGTCTAGTCTAGTCTAGTCTAGTCTAGTCTAGTCTAATCTAATCTAGTCTTCCATTCCATTTTCTCTATTCTATTCTATTCTATTCTGTTCTGTTCTGTTCTGTTCTGTTCTGTTCTGTTCTGTTCTGTTCTGTTCCATTCCATTCTATTCTACTCTATTCTATTCTATTCTGTAACCTGTTCCGTATTTTCAATTCTATTCTATTCTATTCTAGTTATTTCTTCATACAGTGTATTTGTTGTCCCCTGCTGAGTCACTAATATTTTAATATTTTAAAAATCACTCAATATTCCACGATAATTCCAATATCCCAATTATCTAGAAACACCAATAAGGCCAATTATTAACAAGGTTTAATCATTCCTGGGATTATATCTCCAAGTCCCCTAAATTTCTAGTCCTTATAAGTTTCAAGGTACTTTTTACAACACTGTTAATAATAATAATACAATTAGGTTGCCTAATCATGGACCTTCCACCTTCTAACCTTACTTTGCTTATGATTAGAGTAAATTCTATTATCTATCGATATGTGTACTACTATTTTCCCAATCTATACTTTCTACTTTTTTCTTTTCTTTTTCTTTTTTTAACACAGTCACCATATTGAGAGGTATTTTGTCTCTATCCATCATCTCTTGCCCCTTTTAAAAATTCCATCGTTTATTGGCTTTTTGGTCACTCTTTTATCTCTCTCTCGTGGAATCTTATATCTCTTTCTAACGTTTTTTATACAAACTAAATATTCCCTCTGGCTTACCCCCGAAATTTTGTCTTTTGATGAAGAAAGTTGGTTTGGAAAAGGCTGCTACCAGCCTCCAGATCTTTTCCCCCCCAGTCTAATATCTGAATATATAAACTCCTAAGAAGTTTATAGGTTTCCACTTTTGTGCGCCATTCTGAGTTTCCCTTCAGCACTTTGCCTTACATTTTGTATCTCACTTTGTTAATGGAAGTGGCTGTATAACAAACATATTTTTTTTAAAACAACAACAACAACTTAAAGAGATCAGGGAGAAGTTTGAAACTGTCACCACCATCCTGGATGCCTATCAACTCTGTTTTGCAACAATTTCTAAGACAAAGTAACAGCGAAACAAAACATTGACTTAAGGCAAAGAATCCACAGCTCCAAATCAAACGACAGCAGCGTTAGAAAAGATTGAAATCAATGGGCTTTACAGTTACACATTGCTACATTTAAGGCAAAACTGGGCGAAGAAGTTGTACAGGATTAAAAAAAAAAAAAGGATCGACCGATTCCTAATCGGTCCAGTTTTTTTTAAAAAAAAATATATCAAAAAGGATATTTGTGATCACAATTTTTTTAATTTCGTACGGATTCCCAGAAGAAAAAAAGCGGAACAAGCCAATTCCCCCTTGCAAATTGAAAATAAAACTTACTGGCATCATCGTGATTTCTCTTCTATTTTTTTCCCCACACTTCTTCTTTTCGTTGCTTGTTTTTTTTCCCTCCCCCCTTTTTTTTTCTCCCAGGTTAAAAAGCAGCAATTAATACAAGGCGGGCGAGTTTAATGCGATCCTTAAGTTTTTGCTTGCCTTCTCTTCTCCCTTGCTAGCAGGTTCCGCCTTTGGAGAGATTAAACCTCTCCCAGTTTCATTAAATAAAGACAAGAGATAGGCAGTCATCAAAGGTTCTGGCAAGCCATTAAGGGAGGCGCAAGGCACGCTGGGGATTGTAGTTTCTGCCTCTGGATTTGGCCCCGCCCCCACTAGATTTCATCTTAAGCAAATAGCGCATCCTGCTGCGCGCTGGGGAAACATTTGCTCCAAAAACGTGGGTAGATCTTTAAAAGGCCATCCGAATCCTTCCAACTTCTCCCTACGGGCTACAGCACTGGGAAAAATCCAGCAGGTTCTGACAGATTCTGGAGAACCGGTAGCGGAAATTTTGAGTAGTTCGGAGTACTGGCAAATACCACCTCTGGCTGGCCCCAAAGTGGGGAGGGAATGGGGGATTTTGCAATATCCTTTCCCACAGGAGTGGGGAGGGAATGGAGATTTTTGAAGTATCCTTCCCCCTGGAGTAGGGTGGGAATGGGGATTTTGCAGTATCCTTCCCCCAGGAGTGGGGAGGGAATGGGGATTTTGCAGTATCCTTTCCCCAGGAGTGGGGAAGGAATGGGGGATTTTGCAATATCCTTTCCCACAGGAGTGGGGAGGGAATGGAGATTTTTGAAGTATCCTTCCCCCTGGAGTAGGGTGGGAATGGGGATTTTGCAGTATCCTTTCCCTGGAGTGGGGTGGGAATGGAGATTTTTGAAGTATCCTTCCCCTGGAGTAGGGTGGGAATGGGGATTTTGCAGTATCCTTCCCCAGGAGTGGGGCAGGAATGAAGATTTTGCAGTATCCTTTCCCTGGAGTGGGGTGGGAATGGAGATTTTTGAAGTATCCTTCCCCCTGGAGTAGGGTGGGAATGGGGATTTTTGCAATATCCTTTCCCCCAGGGGTGGGGCAGGAATGGAGATTTTGCAGTATCCTTTCCCTGGAGTGGGATGGGAATGGAGATTTTGCAATATCCTTCCCCTGGAGTGGGGAGGGAATGGGGATTTTGCAGTATCCTTCCCCCAGGAGTGGGGAGGGAATGGGGATTTTGCAATATCCTTCCCCGAGGAGCGGGGAGGGAATGAAGATTTTGCAATATCCTTCCCCTTGAAGGGAAACAATAATAAGGATATAATAAATAATACTAGGATATGATATACTGGTATACTAGATTCTGTAACCATTAGGTTCCTGTAATACATATATGCCTTTATATTTGTATCTCCTGTAACAAACATATTCCGTTATTAGGCCTGTAATGTATCTGGTACTTGTCAAACATCTGTCCCTGCCATTTGACCTGAACCCATATCAAACTTCTCCCTGTTTTTTTCTTGTGCCATCTAAGAGCATGGTACGTATCTCCAAGGGATAATTTACACCTCAGTCCTAATTTACGTTGATCTGGATAGACTCCTACTTTCCAGGGCCAGTTGAGTAAACAAAGAAATGTTCAAGATGACTAATTGGGAAGTTTCTATTCCCCCTTGCAGGGCAACAAGGAATGCACAGGTCTGGATTGGGAGGCCAGAGTTGGGTACTAAGCTGACTATCTACAAGACCGCCTGCTACCACCAATAGCCTCCCACCGACCAGTTCGCTCCCATAGAGAGGGGCTCCTCCGGGTGCCGTCGGCCAAACAATGTCGACTGGCGGCCCCCAGGGGGAGAGCCTTCTCTGTGGGGGCACCTACTATCTGGAACGAGCTCCCCCCCGAGATACGGAGGATTCCGGATCTGCGTACCTTCCGTCGCACGTTTAAGACGTTCCTATTCCAGCAAGCCGGCCTGACCTAAACTTCTCCTCTTTTAAATGGGAATTTTAAATTTGGTTTTAAATTATTGGGGTTTTAAATATGGTTCAGCCAAATTTATTTAACTTGTTTTATTTCTATTTTAAATTTTGTATTTATATGTTTTATTTCATGGCTGTTCACCGCCCTGAGTCCTTCGGGAGTAGGGCGGTATACAAATTTAATAAAATGAAAATGAAATGAATGACGTCTCTGAGGGTATAAAAGGACGCCATACCTTCCCCAAGGTGTGGCTATCTCCTCGCATGCATTGTATCTGTATGTTCTGGATATAGTTCCACCCAGTATTTTGTTTTTGGCCATAAATAAAATCTGGTTTTTTTGCAAGCCTCGTCTTGAGTCTCTCTCTTTGGCATTCTGGTGACTCAAGTGTATTTTGGGACCTTACACCCTGGAGTGGGGCAGGAATGGAGATTTTGCAGTATCCTTCCTCTGGAGTGGGGCGGGAATGGAGATTTTGCAGGATCCTTCCCCTGGAGTGGGGAGGGAATGGAGATTTTGCAATATCCTTCCCCCAGGAGTGGGGAGGGAATGGGGATTTTGCAGAATCCTTCCCCTGGAGTGGGGTGGGAATGGACATTTTGCAGTATCCTTCCCCCAGGAGTTGGGTGGGAATGGAGATTTTGCAGTATCCTTCCCCTGGAATGGGGAGGGAATGGAGATTTTGCAATAGTAGGGTGGGAATGGAGATTTTGCAGTATCCTTCCCCTGGAGTGGGGAGGGAATGGGGATTTTGCAATAGTGGGGCGGGAATGGGGATTTTGCAATATCCTTCCCCCAGGAGTTGGGTGGGAATGGAGATTTTGCAGTATCCTTCCCCTGGAGTGGGGAGGGAATGGGGATTTTGCAATAGCGGGGAGGGAATGGGGATTTTGCAATATCCTTCCCCCAGGAGTGGGGTGGGAATGGAGATTTAGCAGTATCCTTCCCCTGCCATGCCCACCAAGCCACGCCCACAGATTTCACCACTGGGCTACAGGCTCCCATGATTCTCGAAAGATCGGATTAAAGGAAATCCGAGCCTTCAAACTGTCCCTATGGACTACAATTCCCATGACCTGAGAATCTGGACAGACTTTTAGCTGTACAATTTGGGATGAACTACAGGAACCTTTTGCACCATTCAGGTGACCCCCGAGGACACAGATAAACCTCCAAGTCCGAAAGGTGCTTTTTTTCAAGAGGCAACTGGACTTTTTGTTTTTGTTTTTTTCTTTGAAGACGTCTCGCTTCTCATCCAAGAAGCTTCTTCAACTCTTCTTGGATGAGAAGCGAAACGTCTTCAAAGAAAAAACCGGAAAGTCCAGTTTCCTCTTGAAAAAAGCACATTTGGGACAACCATGACCTGGATGGCTGAGAATCTCCAGAGGCATTTAGCTAGGCCAGAGGTGAAGAAGCTGCTTCTTCTCTTCTCTTTTCTTGTCTTCTCTTCTCTTCTCTTCTCTTCTCTTCTCCTCTCTTCTATTCTATTCTATTCTATTCTATTCTATTCTTTCTCTCTTCTCTTCTCGTCTCTTCTCTTCTCTTCTCTTCTCTTCTCTTCTCTCTCTCTCTTCTCTTCTCTTCTCTTCTCTTCTCTTCTCTTCTCTTCTCTCTCTCCTCTCCTCTCCTCTCCTCTCCTCTCCTCTCCTCCCCCCCCCCCCCCCTCCTCTCTCCCCTCCCTTCTCTTCTCTTCTCTTCTCTTCCCTTCCCTTCCCTTCCCTTCTCCTCTCCTCTCCTCTCCTCTCCTCTCTCCCCTCCCTTCTCTTCTCTTCTCTTCTCCTCTCCTCTCCTCTCCTCACCCCTCCCCTCCTCTCCTCTCTCCCCTCCCTTCTCTTCTCTTCTCTTCTCTTTTCTCCTCTCCTCTCCTTCTCTTCTCTTCTCTTCTCTTCCCTTCTCTTCTCTTCTCTCCTCTCCTCTCCTCTACTCTCCTTCTCTTCTCTTCTCTTCTCTTCTCTTCTCTTCTCTTCTCTTCTCTTCTCTTCTTCTCTCTTCTCTTCTCTTCTTCTCTCTTCTCTTCTCTCTTCAGCTACACATGCCTAGTTCCCTTAATTTATCTTATTTTAAAATTTCTTTCCCATCTAATCTGGTGTCTCCAGGCATTTTACCGGGGCTACAGATCCCCCACCCACCCACCCACCCTACGCCAGCGTGCCTTGCAACTGGATGTTTTCTTATGCAGACATTGCCTAAGGAGAAAACCAAGCATTATATGCCAGAGCTTTCCAAATACTTGCACACGAAGGACTTTCCGTTGGATGTTTTGACAGATGTTTCCGCTCACGGGCCGGACTGTCGGTTAGCATTTCCTGCTTTCCCTCCCTGCAGCTTTTGCTTTTGATTTCACAGGAGAAATTGGGAGAAGGATTGACAAGTCACCCTTTCTCTTTTCCACCACTGTTCCAAGCCTTGCAGGATAGTTTCACTTAACATCATTAATTTTGGGGCTCGATTGTGGTCGTAACTCGAGGGCTACCAAGGCTCTGTTCAGACATCATAGTGAACCCAAACTCATCTTGGACAATGGAATGTTTTGTAAATCCAGCTGCAGACATCTGGGAGGACCTGGGAGGACAGGTTATGGATTTAGCATCTTCAACTGACCCATATCACTCAGGAGACATGGGCCTGGTTGAACACAAGAGCGACCACACAGTTGGCTTGTTTCATCCCATCACATGGTCCTCAACGTACGACCACAATTGAGCCCCACATTTATGTTGCTAAATGAGAAATTTTGTTAAGTGAGCTGGGCTCCCGTTTTATGACTTTTCTTGCCAGTTTGTTAAGGGAATCATTTCCGTTGTTAAAATTCATAACCGGGCTTTGATGTGGATCTGGCTTCCCCGTTTGGCTTGGCTTGTCAGAAGGTGGAAAAAAGGGATCACGTCTCACATACAAACACACACACACACGGGACTCTAGAATGGTCATAAATCTGAATCATTTTCCAAGCATCCGAATGTAAATCACGTGACCACGGGGATGGTGCAATGGTCATAAGTGTGAAAAACGGTCATGATTCCCCACCCCCCCCTTTTAAAAAAATTTATAACATTTTATTAGATTGTAGAATAAAATATAAAAAGTACAAAAGCAAAGAGTAGGACACAGTGGGGAGGCGAAGGGGAAAGAAAAGCGAGTAGAGTAGAATATAGAATATAGAATAGAATATAGACAATATAATATAACACATATATAATAGAATATATAATAGAATAGAATATAGAAGATAATAATAATATAGAATATATAATAGGATAGGATAGGATAGAGTAAGATATAATAGGATATAGAATATAGAATAGAATATAGAAAATATAATATAATATATATCATAAATAATAGAATAGAATATATAATAGAATATAGAATATAGAATATAATATATAATATAGAAGATAATAGAATATAGAAGATAATAGAATATAGAATATAGAATAGAATAGGATAGGATGGGATATAATAAGATATAATAGGATATAATAGAATATAGAATATAATACAATATAGAATACAGGATAGGATAGGATAGGATAGGATAGGATAGGATAGATATAATAAGATATTCTAGAATATAGAATAGAAAAAAGAATAGAATAGGATAGGATAAGGAATAGAATAGAATAGAATAGAATAGAATAGAATAGAATAGAATAGAATAGAATAGGGAATAGGGAATAGGAATAAAAAAGAAACAGGAAGGGCCTTGGAGGTCTTCTAGTCCAGCTACCTGCTCAAGCAGAAAAACCTATACCAGAGAGCAAAGGCAAAAGACACCAGGACAAGATTGAGCATGGAATTCCATGTCTAAAAATGGTGTTGCTTCCACTTTTTAAAAATCGAGCCTTTTTGGTGCCAGGAGAAGAAAAGGCTTTACTCCACGGTCAGGAAAAATGCTGCCCAGGAACCAAAATGTTTTTTGAAGCCAATTTTTTTTTTCAAACCAAATGCAAAAACGGACGCCAGCATGAGTTTCGGGATGAAATTCCATGTCTAAAAATGGTGTTGCTTCCACTTTTTAAAAATTGAGCCTTTTTGGTGCCAGGAGAAGAAAAGGCTTTACTCCACGGTCAGGAAAAATGCTGCCCAGGAACCAAAATGTTTTTTGAAGCCATTTTTTTTTTTTGAAACCAAATGCAAAAACGGACACCAGCATGAGTTTCGGGATGAAATTCCATGTCTAAAAATGGTGTTGCTTCCACTATTTAAAAATCGAGCCTTTTTGGTGCCTGGGGAAGAAAAGGCTTTACTCCACGGTCAGGAAAAATGCTGCCGAGGAACCAAAATGTTTTTTAAAGCACAATATGTTTTTTTAAACCAAATGCAAAAACGGACCCCAGCATGAGTTTCGGGATGAAATTCCATGTCTAAAAATGGTGTTGCTTCCACTTTTTAAAAATTGAGCCTTTTTGGTGCCAGGAGAAGAAAAGGCTTTACTCCACGGTCAGGAAAAATGCTGCCCAGGATCCAAAATGTTTTTTGAAGCACAATATGTTTTTTTTAAAACCAAATGCAAAAACGGACACCAGCATGAGTTTCGGGATGAAATTCGATGTCTAAAAATGGTGTTGCTTCAACTTTTAAAAAATCGAGCCTTTTTGGTGCCTGGGGAAGAAAAGGCTATACTCCACGGTCAGGAAAAATGTTGCCAAGGAACCAAAATGTTTTTTGAAGCCAAAATTTGTTTCTTTAAACCAAATGCAAAAACGGACACCAGCATGAGTTTCGGGATGAAATTCGATGTCTAAAAATGGTGTTGCTTCCACTTTTAAAAAATCGAGCCTTTTTGGTGCCTGGGGAAGAAAAGGCTTTACTCCACGGTCAGGAAAAATGCTGCCCAGGAACCAAAATGTTTTTTGAAGCCAAATTTGTTTTTTTAAACCAAATGCAAAAACGGACGCCAGCATGAGTTTCGGGATGAAATTCCATGTCTAAAAATGGTGTTGCTTCCACTTTTTAAAAATTGAGCCTTTTTGGTGCCAGGAGAAGAAAAGGCTTTACTCCACGGTCAGGAAAAATCCTGCCCAGGAACCAAAATGTTTTTTGAAGCCATTTTTTTTTTTTTGAAACCAAATGCAAAAACGGACACCAGCATGAGTTTCGGGATGAAATTCCATGTCTAAAAATGGTGTTGCTTCCACTTTTTAAAAATCGAGCCTTTTTGGTGCCAGGAGAAGAAAAGGCTTTACTCCACGGTCAGGAAAAATGCTGCCCAGGAACCAAAATGTTTTTTGAAGCCAATTTTTTTTTTCAAACCAAATGCAAAAACGGACGCCAGCATGAGTTTCGGGATGAAATTCCATGTCTAAAAATGGTGTTGCTTCCACTTTTTAAAATTGAGCCTT